TGCTGTCCCTCCCTTAGCCTCCCCCAACAGACCTCAGAGTGTGATGTTTCTCTCCCTGTGTTCATGTGTTCCCATTGTTCAACACTCGCCTATAAGTGAGAACATGTGGTGTTTGGTTTTCTGTTCTTGTGTCAGTTTGCTGAGAATGATGGTTTCCAGATTCATCCATGTCCCTACGAAGGACACGAACTCATCATTTTTTATGGCTCCATAGTATTCCATGGTGTATATGTGCCACATTTTCTTTGCCAGTCTATCATTGATGGGCATTTGAGTTGGTTCTACAAGAGTTGGCTCTTGTAAACAGTGCCGCAGTGAACATTCGTGTGCATGTGTCTTTATTGTAGAATGTATAGTCCTCTGGGTATATACCCAGTAATGGGATTGCTGGGTCAAATGGAATTTCTATTTCTAGATCCTTGCAGTATTGCCACACTGTCTTCCACAATGGTTGAACTAATTTACACTCCCACCAACAGTGTAAAAGTGTTCCTTTTTCTCCACATCTTCTCTAGCATCTGTTGTCTCCAGATTTTTTTAATCATCACCATTCTGACTGGCATGAGATGGTATCTCAATGTGGTTTTGATTTGCATTTCTCTGATGACCAGTGATGATGAACATTTTTTCCTATGTTTGTTGGCCTCATAAATGTCTTCTTTTGAAAAGTATCTGTTCATATCCTTCACCCACCTTTGAAGGAGTGTTTGTTTTTTGTTTGTAAATCTGCTTTAGTTCTTTGTAGATTCTGGATATTAGGCCTTTGTCAGATGAGTAGATTGCAAAGATTTTTGTCCCATTCTGATGGTTCCTGGTTCACTCTAATGATTGTTTCTTTTGCTGTACAGAAACTCTTAAGTTCAATTAGATTTCATTTGTGTATTTTGGCTTTAGTTGCCATTACTTTTGGTGTTTTAGTCATGAAGTCCTTGCCTATGCCTATGTCCTGAATGGTTTTGCCTAGGTTTTCTTCTAGGGTTTTTATGGTTTTAGGTTTTAGGTTTAAATCTTTAATCTATCTGGAGTTAATTTTAGTGTAAGGTGTAAGGAAGGAGACCAGTTTCGGCTTTCTGCATATGGCTAGCCAGTTTTCCCAGCACCATTTATTAAACAGAGGATCCTTTCCCCATTGCTTGTTTTTGTCAGGTTTGTCAAAGATCAGTTGGTTGTAGATGTGAGGTGTTACTTCCATCCACCCTGTAGAAATTTCCAGTTGAGTAACAATGGTGTGCTTCCTACATTATTGCTCTCTTTCTTTTTTTTTTCTGTTTCTCTTCTTTTCTTTTTTTGTTTCTTTCCTTCTTTCTTTCTTTTGCTCTCTCTCTCTTTCTTTCTTTCTTTGACAGAGTCTCATTCTGTTGCCCAGGCTGGAGTATAGTGGTACAATCTCAGCTCACTGCAACCTTTGCCTCCCAGGTTCAAGTGATTCTCCTGCCTCAGCTTCACTAGTAGCTGGGAATATAGGTGCATGCCACCACACCTGGCTAATTTCTTTGTATTTTTAGTAGAGATGGGTTTTCACTGTGTTAGCCAGAATGGTCTCAATCTCCTGATCTCGTGATCCTCCACCTCAGCCTCCCAAAGTGCTGGGATTACAGGTGTGAGCCACTGCACCCAGCCTCTCTTTTTCTTTTCTAAGTATCACTTAGGCCTACCTTATATAAATGTATTTATTTATTTAGTTAGTCTCTCTCACTTGAATATAAGCTTCATAAAGGATAAGAATTTGGTCTATTTTGTTAGCCACGGTTCCCTAGCGCCCAGAAAAATGCTTGGCCTTTATAGGTGCTCAAGAAATTTTCTTTGAGGGCTGTACATTTTATTGGAAACCTTAAATACTCTTCAGACAGAACATGTCTTCAACCAAGGCTCTTATGTAGTCTACATAGAAAACTGAAGCTTTCCAGATTAGGGGCAAGGAGAGGGACAGTACAGAGGACACGTGCTTAGTTTGCCACAAGGGCCTCTCATGATTCATGCTTCTCAGCCAGCTTATCAGCTTCTTTTTCCTTTTTATGGTTTTCTTCTTAGCGTATTCATTGTACTTCTTTCTAAATTTTTGTTAGTGATTGCCCTAGACTTTATAACATTCATTTACAATTATTCCAAGTCTACCTTCAAATAACACTAAGCCATGTCACAGGCAGTACAGGTACCTTATAATAACAAAATATTCCTAATTCTTCCCACCTATCATTCACTAACCTAGAATTCTAGGTTAGGGGTTCCATTATCTCAACACTTTATTTTCCTTTACTAACTTCTTGCTTGCATAGTTTCTGAGGAGAAATCGGGTATAATTCTTATTTTTGCATCTCCATAAGTAATGTGTTTTCCTCTGGCTTCTTATGGGATTTTCTTTTTAAAATAAGTTTTAATTCCTGTGTGTACATAGTAGGCATATATACTTGAGGTCCATGGGACTTTTGGATACAGGCATGCAATGCATAATAGTCACAGCAAAGTACAGTATCCATCACCTAAAGCATTTATCCTTTATTTGTGTTACAAATAATCAAACTATACTCTTAGTTATTTTAAAATATGCAATTAATTTTTTTTACTATAGTCACCCTGTTATGCTAGAAAATACTAGGTCTTGTTCATTCTTTCTCTATTTTACCCATTAACCAACCCCGCTTCCCCCCACTACCCTTCTCAGCCTCTGGTAACAATCATTCTACTCTGTATTTTCATGAGTTCAATTGTTTTAATTTTTATGCTCCCACAAATAAGTGAGAACAGGCAAAGTTTGTCTTTCTGTGACTGACTTATTTCACTTAACATAACGGCCTCCAATTCCATCCATGTTGTTGCAAATGGCAGGATTTCATTCTTTTTCATGGCTGAATCCTACTCCATTGTATATCCACTTGAATGGACACATTTTCTTTATCCATTCCTCTGTTGATGGACACTTAGGTTGCTTCCAAATCTTGGCTTTTGTGAATAGTGCTGCAATAAATAGGGTGATTTTCTTTATGTTTGTTTTTCTGTAATTTGGAAATGATATGCCTCGATGTCATTTTTTGTTTGTTGTTTGTTTTTTTTTTTTGGCATTCATTTGGCTTGGTGTTCTCTGAGTTTCCTGAACCTGTGGTTTGATATGTCACATTAATATGGAAAAACTCTCAATCATTATTGTTTTAAATATTTCTTCTTTTCCTTTATCTCTTCTCTTTCTTTTCTTATTTTACCTAACCTTTTAAATTTATTTTTATTTTTGAGATAAGGTATTTGTTTCCCAGGCTGGAGTGTAATAGCATGATCTCAGCTTACTCTAGCCTCCACCTTCCATATTCAAGTGACCCTCCCACCTCAGCCTCCCAAGTAGCTGGAACTACAGGCATATGCCACCATATCTGGCTAATTTTATTTTTTATAGAGATGAGATCTCAGTATGTTGCCCATGCTAGTCTCAGACTCTTGGACTCAAGCAATCCTCCCTGCTTGGCTTCCCAAAATGTGGCAATTACAAGTGTGAGCCACTGCACCTGGCCTGGAGGATTCTACTGATATATCTTCAAGATTAGAGATTCCTTCCTCAGTTGTGTCCATGTCTTTATAAGCCTATTAATGACATTCTTCTTTTCCTTTACGGTGTTTTTTATCTGTAGCATATCATTTTGGTTCTTTCTTAGGATTTTCATCTCTGCTTACGTTGCCCATCTGTGTCCATCTGTTCTTGGAGGCTGCTTTATCCATTAGAACCCTTAGCAAATTAATCATTGTTGTTTTAAATTTTAAACAACAAAATAAATCATTGTTGTCTTAATCCCTGCCATGTCTAGTTCTGATGCTCGCTCTGTCTCTTTAAACTGTGTTTTTTTGCTTTTTAATATACTTGTAAATTTTTCTTGATAGCAGAACATGATGTACTGGGTAAAAGGAACCATAGTTAAATAGGCCTTTAACAATGTAATGGTAAGGTATGGGGGGAGAAGCATTCTATGTCAGTCTCTTGGCGAGCCTGCGTCCCTCTACTTTGAACTTCACCAGTTCTTCTCAGTCCTCTCCCCATGTCTCTGGCAAGGCAGGATGATTAGAGGTGACTGGAGTTGGGCATTTCCCTTCCCTAGGTAGCTTAGGCTCTGATAAAAGCCCAATAGGTTAGGCCCTGGTAAAGCAGTTTCTCCTGAGAGCAGGCCTTGTTCAGAACAGAATGCCCATTTCAGAATGGTTCTTTTTCTCCCTCCCACGGCTGGAAGTATGAAGGGATTTTTCTTTAATATGCACTGTGAGGACCTGATAAAACTCCTAGAGGTAAAACACATGAAAGCATGGGGCCCCACTATGATGAGTCTTACTAGAGTTTTAAACTCTCATCCTTGTCCACACTGAGCTAGCAATTGTAAATTAATGTTAAGGTTTTCTTACCCCAGTAATGATTCCTTAGGAAGTTTCTGCTTGTGAATTTCTGCCCTACTAAGTTATGATTCTCTGAATCCACCTGTCTCTCCAATTTTGAGGAAATCAGTTTGCCTGTTACCTCACTTCTCTGATGAACTTAAGGGTTGTTGATTTCTTTAGGGTTGGTTCAGCTTTTTACTTGTTGTTAGGACGAAGTGGTGACATCGAAGCTCCTTAAATGCCAGACCAGAAACTGGTAGACTAAACAATAATTTTCTTCTTTGAAGAAACTGGAAGACTAAACAATAATTTTAAATAAATAGATTTGGGTCTGATTTTCAAGGCTATACTATCAAGCTCCAACTATGAAGGCAGGTAGGAGGACATTGGAAGTTTCTGATGGGAGAGATTTAATGAAAACAGTGCTTCATTGAGAAAATATCATTTAAATAGAGAAATGAATAGGAGTTAGCTAGATCCTGATAAGGGAGAAATTGTTGGGGAGACGGAAGGTGTCAGAGAGCAGGAATAGCCCTGGGTGACAAGATAATTCACCATCCAAATCAGGGAGACTTGAAAAGTGAAAGGGCACTATTAATAATTATGCTGGTGCAACAGGCATTGGCCAGTACTTTCCTGGGTAACCTGGGATGTGTAATTTCATTACATTTGGGGAGCTACAAGAAAGTCAGAATGAAGAGAACAATGTGTGGATGGTTTCATTGGGAGGTAGGTGAAGAAGGTACTCATAGCTGGTGTTTCAAGTTAGGTTGGAGCCAGTGAATTGTGTCACTGTTCCTCATAAACAGATGGCCTTGAGAAGCCATTGAGCAAGGAGATGAAAAGATCAGATTTATGTTCTGAAAAACTGGATTGGATAAGGGCAAAGCAAGGTGGAAATAGCAGTTGGGAGATGATTATGGCTTGGATTAGGATGGTGATGGTGGTAGAGATGGGTTCTAGAGATATTTAGACTTGGGGATGGGCTAGTTATGGAGAAGAAAATGAGAGGGAGGTGCCAAAGAGTCTTCTAGATTTGTGGTCTGTAGAACTGGCTGGATCATGATCTCTCTCACTGATTTAGGAAGCAATAAAAGAGGACCAGGTTTGGAGGTAAGGACAAAAGTTCAATATTTAATACATTAAGTTTGAGGGGAAGTGTGAAGACGCTTTACGAGGTGTCAAAGATATAGATCTGCAAATCAGAAGAAATCAGATCTAGAGCTATAATCCTTGGAGTCATCAATTTGTATATGGTAAGCAAAGTTACTGAGAAGATAAAAAGGCCCAAGATTGAGCCTTAAAGCTCATTTGGATATTAGGACAATGAGAAGGTTCCAAAGGAGACTGCCAAGAAGTAACCAGTAAAATTAGACAAAAATTGGGAGTGTGATATCACAAAAGCCAAGAGAAGAAATTATTTGAAATAGGAAGAAGTGGACAATGGTGTAAAATGTTATTGAGAAATAACTAAGGTGAGAATTGAAAAATGACAGTTGCACTCACGTGACAGTTTACTTGATATCATGACAACAGCATGGGGGAACTGTCCTTGTGATCCAGTTACCTTTCTCCTTCGATATGTGGGGATTACAATTCAGAATGAGATCTGGGTGAGGCCACAGAGCAAAACCCCCATATCAGGTGGTAAAGGTATGAATTGCTATTATGCTTTGGGAGAATAATTTTGCAATATATATTACTGGTAATAATGATGCTATGGATAATTATATACTTTCACCCAGCAACTCCCATTTTTGGGATTTTTTTTTTTTTTCTTTTTGAGGTGGAGTCTTGCTCTGCTGTCTTGCTCTGTTGTGCAGTGGCACAATCTCGGCTCACTACAACCTCTGCCTCTTGGGCTCAAGCAATTCTCCTGCCTCAGCCTCCTGAGTAGCTAGGACTACAGGCATGCACCACCATGCCCAGTTAAATTTTCTTTTTCTTTTTTTTTTGTATTTTTAGTAGAGACGGAATTTCACCAGGTTCTCTCCAGGCTGGTCTTGAACTCCTGACCTCAGGTGATCCACCTGCCCTGGCCTCCCAAAGTGCTGGGATTACAGGCACCAGCCATCGTGCCTGGCCCATTTTTGGGAATCTACTCAAATTATAAAGACTTATATACACTGGGAAAAAATAAAAGAAAAGTGCCCATTGGATTTAGTGACATAGAGGCCTTTGTGAAAATCTATATGTTTTTCAATTTCAAAGGCTCTTATCCTCTACTAAAATACTTGAGTCAAATGGAAAATAAACAAGAAATAATTTACTGTAAGACTGTTGTACATATTGACTTAAATTTTCAGATATTTAACATTTTATTTTTTCAAATATTTAATATTTTAAATGTTACTCATTTTTTTTTGCTTATAAAGAAGTTAGGATTTAAAACAAATTTTTGGGTTTTGTTTCTAAGTATGGATTTTTAATGGTTGGATATCACGAGTTAAATAAAGGAATATAGGGTTACCTAAGTATTTTTTTAATGCTTACTTTGGAGATTTTATATTATACAATACTAAGCTCTGTGCTTGGATAGCAATAAGGCATTTAGGCTTTTTTAGGAATGTTAGTGCTTTGATCATTGTAGTAATTGTCCAACCGTTCTAGGTCCAACACCTCTACACCTTGCCGCACAGGCTTGCTCATTAGAAACATCAGTCTGTCTACTCTGTTTCAAAGCTGATTACACGCTTTCTGAAAAAAGAGGCTGGATGCCGATTCACTTTGCGTCTTTCTATGACAACATTTGCGTCATTATTGCTCTCTGTAGGAAGGATCCTGGTTTGCTAGAAGCTGAGGCAACAGCTGAGTAAGTCATTAAGCACTTATATCAGGTTAAGGTTCATGTCTAGGCAATAATAAAAAAACAAGAAGAAAGAAAATTAAATCAAATATAAAGTTCTGCTTTTCATGGCTTGCCGAACACACTGCCACTAAAAGGTGATTGGCATGGGTAATTTGAAAGATATGTAAAGTTTACTCTGCTATCCTTTCTACTCACTGTCTCTAGAATTTAAAAAGACAAGAGCTTCTATCAACCTATGCATGTTTTCTGAAAGAATAAGGACTAATTCCTAGGGAGTTGTTCCTAATCTTGTTCCAATAGTATGGTTCTGCAGATTAATTTTTCATGTTAAATGCTTTACTCAGTGCCCTGGAGAAGCCTGAGACTAGGGAGGGGAGAATTGCTCTACACTGGATCCTACACAACCAGATGGCAGCCCTAGGACTTCAGATCAAATGGGATAGGTTTTGGATTACAGGAGCAATATCTAGTGGTATCTGGAAGAGAAATACATTAAAAAGAGTGAAATAACTTTGAAATTAAAAAAAAAACCAACAGTCTTTTGTTTTACAATTTAGCTATGGATCAGCATTTAGGATACAGGTGTAACTTCTCCAGAAAATACATTCTTGGCTGGAAATCTAAAGCCAGGTTATTATTTTGGATCTCTGAGCCTGATTTAGAGCTACTTTCATTCAGGTTTTTTAGGTTTTCGAATAACCTGTCCACTATTATTCAGTGGTCTAAGGCTAGCATAATGGCTTGTTAGTATGAGGGACACCAGCTTCTTCTTGACACATTTAACATGTGGAATCCACCAGAGGAGGTTGGTGTCCCTCAGATGCCAAGTCCCACTTTCACCATAATGTCTACATTGTAGCTATGAGAAGAAAGAAGAGGCCAGGTACAGTGGCTCACACCTATAATACCAGCACTTTGGGAGGCCAAGGCAGGCAGATCACTTGAGGTCAGGAGTTTGAGACCAGCATGGATAACATAGCAAAACCCCCTCTCTACTAAAAATACAAAAATTAGCTAGGCACGATGGTACATGCTCATAATCCTAGCTCTTCTGGAGGCTGAGGGATGAGTGTCACTTGAACTGGGGAGGCAGAGGCTGCAGTGAGCTGACATTGTACCACTGTACTACAGCCTGGGCAACAGAGTGAGACTCCATCTCAAAAAAAAAGAAGAAGAAGCTAGGAAATGGATAACCAAAGAAAAGATCTTCACTATCTAAAAATCAGATAAGAGTTTTTGAGCAAAACTGTTAGTTTTTGCCACAATGAATAAGCTGGGATTCGAAAACTGGACATGAAGTAATGGGTGTAACTAATTCCTGAGCTTCAGTTACATCGTTTATAAAATGGACTGATAATACTTGCTTTGCTTTTTCCTTCACTTACAGAGTAGTTGTAAGACTTAGATAGGATAGGGTATTGTAAGAACTTTGTGCATTATCATCTTCCAAACAAATTTTAAGTCATGATAATTAAGTTGGGGAGGTGGGTAGGGACCCATACTAAGGATGGCATGGCAAAGGGGCAAATCTATTTACGTGTAGAATACAGAAGATGGGAATTCCTAAGACCAGAAGGTGGTGGTGTCAGTCAGACTTACTCCAATTGCAATTCGAATAGTTTTACAAAAAGCAAATTTGACACTATATGTGTGTTTTTTCTTGTTACAGCATGTTTCTTAATTTTTAGGAATCAGTTCACTCCACTGTTACTTGCTGCCACTTCAGGAGCACTGGATAGTATTCAGTACCTGTTTTCTGTCAGTGCTAACTGGAGAAAAACAGATATTAAAGGAAATAATATAATCCATTTTTCAGTGTTAACTTTTCACACAGAGGTTCTCAAATATATAATAAAGTTAAATATTCCTGAACTCCCAGGGTGGAAAACTTTGGTAGGTGAGTATAATCTCTTTATAAATACATGTTCTGATTATTATTTAGTTTAATTATTGATACTCTGAAAGAAAGAAAACAACACATGCATTATATTTTAAATATTGAAAAATCATGAAATAAACATTTTATTAAAGCCAGAAATAAAAATACAAATAATAAAGAGCTAAATATTTGTGTGTGCAAACATAGTTTTATTTCCAAGTTAAAATCAAAGATCTGTGACCCAGACTATATTTTACACAACTATATTTATTTTCCAACTTTCTCCAAAAGTTGAAACATCTCCTTCATCAAGAAAAAGGAAGGGGGAAATTTTAAGTGAAAAACATTCCCTCCAATTTATTCTTGCCTCCCAATTGTAGAGACAAATTTAGCAAAATCTTTTGTTATATTTTGACTAATGTTTTGTGAAAAATTTCATCTGAGTTTTTTTTTCTTTCAAATTTGCATTCAGTCTAGCCAAAATAAGGGTAAGTTACTAGGCCAATTATATGGACATATCTAATTTTACTCCCTTTAATGACCCTCACTAAAATTACATGGTGATTAAACAATAATAATACCACCAGCAGCAGACAAGCATGGAAAAACAAGAAAGGATACAACAGCAATAAAATACTGGAAGATGGAAACAGTCAGGCAGGGCTTAGGACTAAGCCTAAAAAGCTGAGAACCCCTTAGACTCACACATAAATCCTCAAAAGGCTTGAGAATTGGCAGTGCCCATTAGGAATGCTCTCCTCAGAGCCTAACTTAGCAAGACCTAAAGATGTCAAGGCTAGAATTCTCCCCAATAAGTAGAAAGGAGAGAGACTCAGGAAACTAGGAGTCTTACCCATGCGTAAAGCATAGGGAATTTCAAGGAAGATAGCAAAGGGAAGTTCCAGAATGGAACTGTGTATCCAGTCTAGAGGAAAAAGATGGAAGGAATTATCAGTAGGTAAAAGGAAAATTAAGCAGATGAAATACAGCAGTCTCCCCTTCTCAGCAGCTTATCTTTTGGTGGTTTTGGTTCCCTGCAGTACTGTACAATAAGATATTTTGAGACAGAGGGATAGAGCACATTCATATAACTTTTATTAATATATATTGTTGTAATCTATTATTAGTTGTTGTTAAGCTATTACTATGCCTACAGACTTTATTATAGATGGGTGTATGTTCAGACAGTCTGGTTTGACTTACGGTTTTTTACTCTACAGTCATGCAAAAGTGATGCACATTCAGAAGAAACTGCAGTTACAGTCCCCATACAACCATTTTGTTTTTAACTTTTAGTACAATATTCAATAAATTACATGAGTTATTAAACACTCTATTATAAAATAGGCTTTGTGTTAGATCATTTGGCCAAGCTGTAGGCTAATGTAAATATTCCAAGCACATTTAAGTTAAGCTAGTAATATTCCAAGCTCATTTAAGTTAAGCTAGGTAAGCTATGCTGTTTGGCAGATTAGGTTTATAAATGTATTTTCAATTTATGGTATTTTCAACTTACAATGAGTTTATCAGGACATAACCAATCATAAGTTGAGAAGCATCTGTCAAGAAAAAAACATAGTATATACAGGGTTCAGTACTATTTACAGTTTCAGGCATCCACTGGGGGTTTTGGAATGTGTCTTCTGCAGATAAGGGGGGAACTATTGTAAAATAAGGAAGTTATTTTTAAAAAAATAAAAATAAGAAATGAGACACAACCATAGTACATTACAGTCCTCAGCTGTGAATAATGTAGAGACATCATCATATAAGTACCTAATACTGATTCAACAAAAAGCTATAAATACAGAGAGAGGAAAGTAAGAGGAAAGAGCAGAGCAGTGTTGAAAGAGTTAATTTCCCATTTTTCATAACATGAAGTCAGTCAATGAAGTCCAAATCAATGTAGCAAAACACAGCAGTGTATGTAAATACGTAGAAATAAGAAAATTTATAAATCATAGACGGTATAGGGAGGAGTCCAAACTGTATATGGAGAGATGAACCCAGAACAGTGGGGAGGGTGGGGCCAAGAATTACTAAGTTTTGTTATAGATCTTTTAGTAACATTTAACTCTGAATCATGCACATGCTTAATTTGATATAAATAAAAAATGAATTTAAGCCAAAAGAGAGAAATTAATTGGAGAATGAGAACTGATTTTTTTCCAACAACTCATTTTAGGATGGGATAAGATATGTTTAAGATTTTCAACCCCATTCTACTGATTCAAGAAGTCTGTATATTCGGTTATAAACTGGCTCAATACCTGATCTTGGAATTTAGTGGGTACTGGGAACATATCCCAAATACTGGATACAAGCTCCAAGAGATATTGGAAAGTGTTTTTAATATTTATTTGTGTGCATTTAAATCATTTTGTAGTATTGTTAGGAGGAAGTGAGAGGACTATCCTGTTACTTTTACTAGACTAAATCATTGTAAACACCTACCTTAATAGTGGGAAGCTCTGGCCCCTAACAGGAATGATCTAAAAGAACATAAAAATTCACCAGAGCTGCCTTTCTGCCCGTGGATGCCGCCGAAGCAGCATCGTTAAAGTCTCTCTTCTCCCCGCGATCATGTCTAAGTCAGAGTCTCCTAAAGAGCCGGAACAGCTGAGGAAGCTCTTCATTGGAGGGTTGAGTTTTGAAACAACTGATGAGAGCCTCAGGAGCCATTTTGAGCAATGGGGAATGCTCACAGACTGTGTGGTCATGAGAGATCCAAACACCAAGCGCTCCAGGGGCTTTGGGTTCATCACGTATGCAACTGTGGAGGAGGTGGATGCAGCCATGAATGCAAGGCCACACAAAGTGGATGGAAGAGTTGTGGAACCAAAGAGAGCTGTCTCAAGAGAAGATTCTCAAAGACCAGGTGCCCACTTAACTGTGAAAAAAATATTCGTTGGTGGCATTAAAGAAGACACTGAAGAACATCACCTAAGAGATTATTTTGAACAGTATGGAAAAATTGAAGTGATTGAAATCATGACGGACAGAGGCAGTGGCAAGAAAAGGGGCTTTGCCTTTGTAACCTTTGACGACCATGACTCCGTGGATAAGATTGTCATTCAGAAATACCATACTGTGAATGGCCACAACTGTGAAGTTAGGAAAGCCCTGTCAAAGCAAGAGATGGCTAGTGCTTCATCCAGCCAAAGAGGTCGAAGTGGTTCTGGAAACTTTGGTGGTGGTCGTGGAGGAGGTTTTGGTGGGAATGACAACTTTGGTCGTGGAGGAAATTTCAGTGGTCGTGGTGGCTTTGGTGGCAGCCGTGGTGGTGGTGGTTATGGTGGCAGTGGGGATGGCTATAATGGATTTGGCAATGATGGAGGCAATTTTGGAGGTGGTGGAAGCTACAATGATTTTGGCAGTTACAACAATCAGTTTTCAAATTTTGGACCCATGAAGGGAGGAAATTTTGGAGGCAGAAGCTCTGGCCCCTATGGTGGTGGCGGCCAATACTTTGACAAACCATGAAACCAAGGTGGCTATGGCGGTTCCAGTAGCAGCAGTAGCTATGGCAGTGGCAGAAGATTTTAATTAGGAAACAAAGCTTAGCAGGAGAGGAGAGCCAGAGAAGTGACAGGGAAGCTACAGGTTACAACAGATTTGTGAACTCAGCCAAGCACAGTGGTGGCAGGGCCTAGCTGCTACAAAGAAGACATGATTTAGACAAATACTCATGTGTATGGGCAAAAAACTCGAGGACTGTATTTGTGACTAATTGTATAACAGGTTATTTTAGTTTCTGTTCTGTGGAAAGTGTAAAGCATTCCAACAAAGGGTTTTAATGTAGATTTTTTCTTTTTCTTTTTTTTTTTTTTTGCACCCATGCTGTTGATTGCTAAATGTAATAGTCTGATCGTGACGCTGAATAAATGTCTTTTTTTTTTAATGTGCTGTGTAAAGTTAGTCTACTCTGAAGCCATCTTGGTAAATTTCCCCCACAGTGTGAAGTTAGAATTTCTTCAGGGTGATGCCAGGTTCTATTTGGAATTTATATACAACATGCTTGGGTGGAGAAGCCAATGTCTTCAGAAACCTTGGTGTAGTTGAACTAATAGTTACTGTTGTGACCTGAAGTTCACGATTAAAAGGAATTACCCAAGCAAAAATTATGGAATTATTGGTTATAAAGATGATTGTTGGCACATCCTATGCAATATATCTAAATTGAATAATGGTACCAGATAAAATTATAGATGGGAATGAAGCTTGTGTATCATCCATTATCATGTGTAATCAATAAACGATTTAATTCTCTTGAAAAAAAAAAAATTCACCAGAGCTGCTGCTTCCTACAGCCATTGTGGAGAAGTCCTGACAATAACACAAAGAACAGACAACAGTGAGCATCTGGCCACTGCTGTTTTGCCTTGGCCCTGCAATAGCTCTCCTTCCTCACACTGCCCATTTCCACTATGCATAAAAGAAAAATCAGTTAATTAGAGGTCTCAGGATTAGCTCTTGGAGTAGAAGCTGAATTTTAAGAGAATGCCACAGAGTAATCTAGCCAAGGTAGATTCAGGATAGATTTGGTAATAGAGTAGCTGGCTAAAGACATGAGGAAAAGATAGGCTGTGTGTCTTTTCTAATGAGGAAAAGGTAGTCTGTGTATCTTTTCTAGCACAATAGACATGTATATTTGTAATATCTTCTGTCTGTAGTAAAACTTCCTCCAAGATTGTATTTCAAGTATCTTTTTCATACTCAGGAAATGTATATAGTCTAATTTCTAATTTAATGAATATTATATTTTTATTAACAGTACTATAGATTACATTGCTATTCTTGAAAACCCACATTGAAATTTTATTCAACAGCTTATTTTAGACAAGAGAGAGATGTACTATTTTCCAAGGAAATTGAAGTATGTGACCAGCCAACGTAAGCTATTCAGACCAAAGATGAAAAATTTTGGCTAGGCACAGTGGCTCATGCCTGTAATCCTAGCACTTTGGGAGGCCAAGGGAGGTGAATTGCTTGAGCCCAAGAGTTTGAGACCAGCCTGGGCAACATCGCAAAATGCTGTCCGTGCAAAAAATATAAAAATTAGCCGGGTGTGGTGGTGCATGCCTGTAGTCTGAGCTACTAGAGAGGCTGAGATGGTAGATCACCTGAGCCCAGGGAGATCCAGGCAGCAGTGAGCTGCGATTATGCCATTGCACTCCCGCCTGGGCAACAGACTGAGACCCCATCTCAAAAAAAAGAAATTTCAGGATTTTTTCACTAATTATGTAGACTATAAACCTCAAAGATCACGGGCTGATGGAATTTGTGAGTAATTCACAGGGAACCATGCAGAGAGGGGAATTTAATCCATGCATTTGGTGGTAATACTCGTGACCTCAACCCTTGGTTTTACTTAGCTGGTGCAAAAACAGAATTAAGCATTTCATTGCCTCTTGTGTAAATTACAGCTGTGTTTTTCTGTTGACCTCTTAACAGAAATGTTACAGTGTGAAAGCTATAAATGAAGGATGATGGCTGTCATGTCCTTGGAAGTAATTTGCTTAGCAAATGATCAATACTGGAGATGTATTTTGGATGCAGGTGATGCAAACTCTAATTATTTTAAATGCTATTTTATGCAATGATATTTTAGTCAGCAGTCATTTTAAAATATATTTTTAATTGTAAAGGAAAAATTTTAGTTGATTTTAGTTTTTTTTTGGCTAAGATCACTTCATTTACCTGTCAACAATGTTTTATTTTCCACAGGGAAGCTGCATAGGATCAAAAAACTACATAAATTCTATTCATTTAAAAGCTCACAAAATTAAAAACTGATGTTAAATATTAATTTAAGTATTAAAATTACGTTACCATACTACTCTTATTTTTACTTTTATTTAGAAATTATTCCTAGTATGTAATCTGCACAATTTACTTTTGAAATTATAAATAGCAGATTTAATGTCAGGCCTGGTTTGTAACTAGCTCTGCATTTAGAACTTAAGATAATTGCTTAACCTCTCTTAGTTTAGTTTATTCACTAATAAAATGGCTCCACCCATAGGATTGTTTTGAGAATAGTATTGTCCAGAATAACTTACTGAAATGATGAAAATGTTCAGCTAGGCACGATGGTTCATGCTTGTAATCCCAGCACTCTGAGAGGCCAAGGCAGGAGGATAGCTTGAGCCCAAGAGTTTGAGACCAGCCTGGGCAACATAGTGAGACCCTGTCTATATCTGTATCTGTCTACCTATCTTTCTGTCTGACTATACACACACACAAACATATATATATATATATGAAATATGTTCTATTTGAAAATGTCCAATATGGTAGCCACTACCGTAATATACTCATTGAATGCATGTGAGATGCTCCATAAATATTAAATGAATAAATTAAAATTTGATTGATTGTAGATGGTCCCCTAATATATTCCTGAAAACATGTACAAAAAGCTCTATATCCAAAAGGTGAACTATAGACTTAAAGAAGTAATGAGGGATATTTTATTTCAGGTAGCCAAATAAATAAGGTTGTTTTTATACCTATTATATTTTCTAGCATTTTGTGTGTGTCCTATAATGTGCTTTCTGTTTTTCATTGAGTTAATATAAGTAAAACAGGCATCCAACTGAAGCCAGATTTTCTATTTTTACTATACCCAACGATTTTCATCTTTGAGCCAATTGTAATTGACACTGATGTTGCATTTTTACTAGATTCAGCACTTTTTGTTTTTCACATGCTGGTATAAAATAAGAATAAATTATAATAAAATGCTCAAATAATTGCTTTATCAGTGTCATACAAAGTTGATGCAGTAATCAAAACTGAACTCTACAATGTCATAGCACAAATAATTTATCAATAATCTTAAGCCAGAATTCAGTGTTTCAAAGATGGCATAAGGTTACTAATATAAAATGTATAATTGTGCTACAGGAAAATCAAATGTATGAACAATGAGAGCTGCCCATGCCAAAGACAAGATGGAAGGTTTCTTCATGTAGTTTCAAATAATTTAATAAATAGTTTATGAAATTATTTGCTAACTGTTTATATGGCAATATCCATAAATATTATTTAAATATTACCATGGTATAATGACCACAAATGGTTAACAATAATTCATGTTTTTTTTCTTTATTGCTCTTTTCATTACAGGCACCATTCCTGCCTTAATCAATCTATTAAAAAGTTCCAAAATAAAACTGCAGTGCAAAACTGTCGGGTTATTAAGTAATATCTCAACCCACAAAAGTGTAGTGCATGCTTTGGTGGAAGCAGGAGGCATTCCATCTCTAATCAACCTACTGGTTTGTGATGAGCCTGAACTAAACTCTCGCTGTGCTGTCATTCTATATGATATTGCTCAATGTAAAAGCAAGAATGTTATTGCCAAATATGTAAGTTCTTTTTATAGACCATTATTTTTAATAATAAATAACTCCCTCATATAGAAGTTACAAAAATAGAAACCCATGTTATTATTCAGTGACAAAACTCTCAGGGAAGGATACAGCAGGTAAAAGGGAGGGAGAGGGAGCCTGGTGAAAAATATTCCACTGAGAAGTTGGCATTTGAGTGCAGTCAAGAAGTAGATAACAGAGTATTTTCTTAAGTTAGCATATGTTGATTACTTCTTGCTGTTTACCAATTACCAGTGAAGTATCTATAATGGCAAATATTTTTTTTTTGGTTTATTTTTAGAATGGAATCCCAAGTCTGATAAATCTCTTGAACTTAATCATAGAAAGTGTGCTAGTAAATGTAATGAACTGTATACAGGTATTATGCATAGGAAATGAAAACAATCAAAGAGCTGTGAGAGAACATAATGGCCTCCCATATCTTACCAGATTTCTGAGTTCTGATTCAGGTGAGCTCTATCTCTGTATTATTTTATAGGGACCAGATATATTAAGTGAAGCAAATATGGATTTGGACTTGTCATATATGAATAGATGTCCTGAATCTGTTTTTGAATAGATCTAAACATGTGTAATGTAACCTAAATATCGAAAACACAAATTTATTTATGTTTTCTAACTGCTAAAGTATGTAAAAAACAGTTTTATTTATTCATTTATTTGAAATGGAGTCTCACTCTGTTGTCCAGGCTGGAGTGCAATGGCGCAATCTTAGCTCACTACAACCTCCTCCTCAATTCTCCTCCTCAGTTCAAGCAATTCTGCCTCAGGCTCCTGAGTAGCTGGAATTACAGGCATGCACCACCACACCTGGCTAATTTCTGTAGTTTTTAAGTAGATACGGGGCTTCACCATGTTGGCCAGGCTGCTTTTGAACTGACCTCGCCCACCTTGGCCTTCCAGAGTGTTGGGATGACACTCGTGAGCCACAGCGCCCGGCCTCTTCCCAGTTCTTTATCCACATCCCCGATGTCTTTCCTGACCTTTAGAGCTAGTTTGGATTACTGAAGAGCTAAGTAAAGACACTTCACTCCTTTCAGAATTTGGGTCCAGATGAGAAATAGACAGGAAACAAATAGAGATCAAAACTTCAGCCTTACTGTTGGAAAGCTTGCTCCAAGAAAACAACAAAAAGTGCCAAAAAGAACCTAAACCATGCATTTGCAATGACTCATTCTTCAAACTAAAAAATTAGGTAACTCACTACTCTTCTCATAAGGAAGGATGAATAAGGAGTAAACTTTTATCTTAATACTTCTGAGTTTGCCAGGGGTGGAGGAATTTCTACTTTTTGTACTGATGCAGGGTAAGAGAAAGAATGGTTTTCCCCACATTCTCTTAATTTTATTAATCTTTAAGGGTTAACATTCCAAGTGTTACTTGAGTGATCTATCTAAAATGTAAAGTTGATTATATCTTCTTGTTTAAGTTACTCAGTGACTGTCTGTCACCTAGGATATGGTCCACATTTCCAGCATGGCCTATAAGCCCTTTTTACTTTCCTACTTCAAGAGGAAATGACCTTCCTGTCACTCCCCTCTGATGTAACTGTCAAGTAATATTGAACTTATTGCTATGTTCTTTACTTAGGACTTTCCTTTTGTTCCACAAGGTAAAGGACCTTGTTTTATTGGTTCACCATTTTTTTCCTAGTACCTGGAACAGTGTCTAGCACATAGTAGCTATTTAATAAATATGCATTGAATAAATAAATAATTAGAGATTTTTTTTTCTCTGCCATTTTTTTTAAATTTTTTATTGGATTTTAGGTTTTGGGGTACATGAGCAGAGCATGCAAGACAGTTGCATAGGTACACACATGGCAGTGTGCTTTGCTTTCCTTTTCCCCTTCACCCACGTTTGGCATTTCTCCCCTGGCTATCCCTCCCCACCCCCCCACTGGCCCTCCCCTTTTCCCCCCTATAGACCCCAATGTTTAGTACTCCGCTTTCTGTGTCCATGTGTTCTCATTTTTCATCACCCGCCTATGAGTGAGAATATGCGGTGTTTCAATTTCTGTTCTTGTGTCAGTGTGCTGAGGATGATGTTCTCCAGATTCATCCATGTCCCTACAAATGACACAAACTCATCATTTCTGATTGCTGCATAATATTCCATGGTGCATATGTGCCACATTTTTCCAATCCAGTCTATTATCAGTGGGCATTTGGGTTGATTCCAGGTCTTTGCTATTGTAAACAGTGCTGCAATGAACATTCGTGTACATGTGTCCTTATAGTAGAACGATTTATAGTCTTTTGGATATATACCCAGTAATGGGATTGCTGGGTCAAATGGAATTTCTATTTCTAAGGCCTTGAGGAATCGCCACACTGTCTTCCACAATGGTTGAGCTAATTTACACTCCCACCAACAGTGTAAAAGTGTTCCTTTTTCTCCACATCCTCTCCAGCATCGGTTGTCTCCAGATTTTTTAATGATCGCCATTCTAACTGGCGTGAGATGGTATCTCAATGTGGTTTTGATTTGCATCTCTCTGATGACCAGTGACGATGAGCATTTTTTCATATGATTGTTGGCCTTATATATGTCTTCTTTCGTAAAGTGTCTGTTCATATCCTTTGCCCACTTTAGAATGGGCTTGTTTGTTTTTTTTTCCTGTAAATCTGCTTGAGTTCTTTGTAAATTCTGGATATCAGCCCTTTGTCAGATGGGTAAACTGCAAAAATTTTTTCCCATTCTGTTGGTTGCCGATCCACTCTAGTGACTGTTTCTTTTGCCGTGCAGAAGCTGTGGAGTTTCATTAGGTCCCATTTGTCTATTTTGGCTTTTGTTGCCAATGCTTTTGGTGTTTTGTTCATGAAGTCCTTGCCTACTCCTATGTCCTGGAGAGTTTTGCCTAGATTTCCTTCTAGGGTTTTTATGGTGCCAGGTCTTATGTTTAAGTCTTTAATCCATCTGGAGTTAATTTTAGTGTAAGGTGTCAGGAAGGGGTCCAGTTTCTGCTTTCTGCACATGGCTAGCCAGTTTTCCCAACACCATTTGTTAAACATGGAATCCTTGCCCCATTGCTTGTTTTTGTCAGGTTTATCAAAGATTGTATAGTTGTAGATATATTGTGTTGCCTCCGGTGCCTCTGTTTTGTTCCATTGGTCTATATCTTTGTTTTGGTACCATTACCATGCTGTTTTGATTACTGTAGCCTTGTAGTATAGTTTGAAATCCAGTAGTGTGATGCCCCCCGCTGTGTTCTTTTTGCTTAGAATTGACTTGGCTATGCGGGCTCTCTTTTGGTTCCATATGAAGTTCATGGTGGTTTTTTTCCATTTCTGTGAAGAAAGTCGATGGTAGCTTGATGGGGATAGCGTTAATTCTGTAAATTACTTTGGGCAGTATAGCCATTTTCACGATATTAATTCTTCCTAACCATGAACATGGAATGTTTCTCCATCTGTTTGTGTCCTCTCTGATTTTGTTGAGCAGTGGTTTGTAGTTCTCCTTGAAGAGGTCCCTTACGTTTCTTGTGAGTTGTATTCCAAGGTATTTTATTCTTTTTGTAGCAATTGTGAATGGCAGTTCGTTCTTGATTTGGCTTTCTTTAAGTCTGTTATTGGTGTAGACCAATGCTTGTGATTTTTGCACATTGATTTTATATCCTGAGACTTTGCTGAAGTTGCTTATCAGTTTCAGGAGTTTTGGGGCTGAGGCGATGGGGTCTTCTAGTTATACTATCATGTCGTCTGCAAATAGAGACAGTTTGGCTTCCACCTTTCCAATTCGAATACCCTTTATTTCTTTTTCTTGCCTGATTGCTCTGGCTAGGACTTCCAGTACTATATTGAATAGGAGTGGTGAGAGAGGGCATCCTTGTCTAGTGCCGGATTTCAAAGGGAATGCTTCCAGTTTTTGCCCATTCAGTATGATATTGGCTGTTGGTTTGTCATAAATAGCTTTTATTACTTTGAGATACGTTCCATCGATACCGAGTTTATTGAGGGTTTTTAGCATAAAGGGCTGTTGAATTTTGTCAAATGCCTTCTCTGCATCAATTGAGATAATCATGTGGTTTTTGTTTTTGGTTCTGTTTATGTGGTGAATTACGTTGATAGACTTGCATATGTTGAACCAGCCTTGCATCCCCGGGATGAATCCTACTTGATCATGATGAATAAGTTTTTTGATTTGCTGTTGCAATCAGCTTGCCAATATTTTATTGAAGATTTTTGCATATATGTTCATCATGGATATTGGCCTGAAGTTTTCTTTTCTTGTTAGGTCTCTGCCGGGTTTTGGTATCAGAATTATGTAGGTCTCGTAAAATGATTTGGGAAGGATTCCCTCTTTTTGGATTGTTTGAAATAGTTTCAGAAGGAATGGTACTAGCTCCTCTTTGTGTGTCTGGTAGAATTCGGCTGTGAACCCGTCTGGACCTGGGCTTTTTTTGAGTGGTAGGCTCTTAATTGCTGCCTTGACTTCTGACCTTGTTATTGGTCTATTGATAGTTTCAGCTTCCTCCTGGTTTAGGCTTGGGAGGACACAGGTGTCCAGGAATTTATCCATTTCTTCCAGGTTTACTAGTTTATGTGCATAGAGTTGTTTGTAATATTCTCTGATGATGGTTTGAATTTCTGTGGAATCTGTGGTGATTTCCCCTTTATCATTTTTTATTGCATCTATTGGGTTGTTCTCTCTTTTCTTTTTAATCAATCTGGCTAGTGGTCTGTCTATTTTGTTGATCTTTTCAAAAAACCAGCTTTTGGATTTACTGATTTTTAGAAGGGTTTTTCGTGTCTCAATCTCCTTCAGTTCAGCTCTGATCTTAGTTATTTCTTGTCTTCTGCTGGGTTTTGAGTTTTTTTGATCTTGCTCCTCTAGCTCTTTCAATTTTGATGATAGGGTGTCAATTTTGGATCTCTCCATTCTCCTCATATGGGCACTTATTGCTATATACTTTCCTCTAGAGACTGCTTTAAATGTGTCCCAGAGGTTCTGGCATGTTTTGTCTTCGTTCTCATTGGTTTCGAAGAACTTCTTTATTTCTGTCTTCATTTCATTGTTTACCCAGTCAACATTCAAGAGCCAGTTATTCAGTTTCCATGAAGCTGTGTGGTTCTGGGTTGGTTTCTGTATTCTGAGTTCTAACTTGATTGCACTATGGTCTGATAGGCTGTTTGTTATGATTTCAGTTGTTTTGCATTTGCTGAGGAGTGCTTTGCTTTCAATTATGTGGTCAATTTTAGAGTAGGTGTGATGTGGTGCTGAGAAGAATGTGTATTCTGTGGATTTGGGGTGGAGAGTTCTGTAAATGTCTATCAGGTTTGCTTGCTCCAGGTCTGAGTTCAAGCCCTGGATATCCTTGTTGATTTTCTGTCTGGTTGATCTGTCTAATATTGACAGTGGAGTGTTAAAGTCTCCCACTATTATTGTGTGGGAGTCTAAGTCTCTTTGTAAGTCATTAAGAACTTGCCTTATGTATCTGGGTGCTCCTGCATTGCGTCCATATATGTTCAGGATCGTTAGCTCTTCTCGTTGTATTGATCCTTTTACCACTATGTAATGGCCTTCTTTGTCTCTTTTGATCTTTGTTGCTTTAAAGTCTATTTTATCAGAGATGAGAATTGCAACTCCTGCTTTTTTTTGCTCTCCATTTGCTTGGCAAATCTTCCTCCATCCCTTTCTTTTGAGCCTTTGTGTATCCTTGCATGTGAGATGGGTTTCCTGGATACAGCACACTGATGGGTTTTGGATTTTTATCCAATTTGCCAGTCTGTGTCTTTTGATTGGTGCATTTAGTCCATTTACATTTAGGGTTAATATTGTTATGTGTGAATTTGATACTGCCATTTTGATGCTAGCTGGCTGTTTTGCCTGTTAGTTGTTGTAGATTCTTCATTATGTTGATGTTCTTTAGCATTTAGTGTGATTTTGGAATGGCTGGTACTGGTTGTTCCTTTCTATGTGTAGTGCCTCTTTCAGGAGCTCTTGTAAAGCAGGCCTGGTGGTGACAAAATCTCTGAGTACTTGCTTGTTCGCAAAGGATTTTATTTTTCCTTTACTTCTGAAGCTCAGTTTGGCTGGATATGAAATTCTGGGTTGAAAGTTCTTTTCTTTAAGAATGTTGAATATTGGCCCCCACTCTCTTCTGGCTTGTAGTGTTTCTGCTGAGAGATCTGCTGTGAGTCTGATGGGCTTCCCTTTGTGGGTGACCCGACCTTTCTCTCTGGCTGCCCTTAGTATTCTCTCCTTTATTTCAACCCTATTGAATCTGACGATTATGTGCCTTGGGGTTGCTCTTCTTGCAGAAAATCTTTGTGGTGTTCTCTGTATTTCCTGCATTTGAGTGTTGGCCTGTCTTGCTAGGTGGGGAAAATTTTCCTGGATGATGTCCTGAAGAGTATTTTCCAGCTGGGATTCATTCTCTTCATCTTCTTCTGGTACACCTATCAAACGTAGGTTAGGTCTTTTCACATAGTCCCACATTTCTTGGAGACTTTGTTTATTCCTTTTTGCGCTTTTTTCTCTAAGCTTGGTTTCTCGTTTTATTTCATTGAGTTGATCTTCCACTTCAGATATTCTTTCTTCTGCTTGGTCAATTTGGCTATTGAAACTTGTGCATGCTTCGCGAAGTTCTCGTATTGTGTTTTTCAGCTCCTTTAATTCATTCATATTCCTCTCTAAGTTATCCATTCTTGTTATCATGTCCTCATATCTTTTTTCAAGTTCCTTAGTTTCTTTGCATTGATTTAATACATGTTCTTTTAGCTCACAAAAGTTTCTCATTATCCACCTTCTGAAGTCTAATTCCGTCATTTCATCACAGTCATTCTCCGTCCTGCTTTGTTCCCTTGCTGGTGAGGAGTTTTGGTCCTTTCTAGGAGGTGAGGTGTTCTGGTTTCGGGTGTTTTCCTCCTTTTTGCGCTGGTTTCTTCCCATCTTTGTGGATTTATCCGCTTGTCGTCTGCGTAGTTGCTGACTTTTTGATTGGGTCTCTGAGTGGACACCCATATTGTTGATGATGAAGTATTTCTGTTACTTGGTTTTCCTTCTTCCAGTCTAGCTCCTTTGCTGTACGACTGCTGAGGTCCACTCCAGGCCCTGCTTGTCTGGGGTGCACCTATAGCAGCTGTGGTACAGTGAGGGATGCTACCAGTTTCTTTTTCTGCTATCTTTGTCTCAGGATGGTGCCTGCCAAATGTCAGTCTTTTGGATATAGAGGCGTCAGGGAGCTGCTTGAGGAGACAGTCTGTACTTTATAGGAGCTCAATTGCTGAGTTGTGAGCTCTGTTGTTCATTCAGGACTGTTAGGCTGCTATGTTTGATTCTGCTGCAACAGAGCTCATTAAAAAACCCCTTTTTTTCTTAAATGCTCTGTGTTGGGGGGTTCGGGCTTTATATTTGGATGTCCGTTGAGGTGTCCTGCCCAGCTAGGAGGCAGACTAGCCACTGTTTGCCTGCTGAGGCTCCGCCCTGCTGTTGTGAGGTTCGCCCTATTGCTGCAGGCTCTGCTGTTCTGCTGTGGTCTCCGCCATGCCCTGCGGATGAGTGTCTCTGTTGTAGTGGGTTGCCTCGGCAACAGCAGGCTGCATCAGCAGTGGGCGTGTATCTCAGTTGGGGCGGGTTGCCTCGGTAATGGTGGACGCCCCTCCCCCAGAGAGCGTCTCGGACCGTCTGCTCGGGATTGTTTGAAATCGCGGTTTTGTTCGTCCCACTGGGCTATCCCAAACACTCTGTCCCTGCAATCCCCTGGGCTGGCCCACTGTCCAAGTCTCGTTCAGTCTCAAGTCCAGCCCTCTCAAGTCTCAGGTTGCCGGTTCAACAGGGCACCCGGACAAGCGCGCTCTGTGGGGAGTGCTGGGTAGGGCCAGCCACCGCCACCCCAGATTCAACGAGAGCTCCAATCCTGGGTTGTTCTCACAGCACCCAATAATTAGATGATTAAATGAAAAAATACTCATAACAACTCATAAATTCATTCACAATTCCAAGACAATAAGCCAGAGAAGATGTGTCTTTTCTCAGCCAGACACTCTGACATAAATTACAGTAATTACTAAAGTTCTAGTAAATGATACCATATATGCACGGTTGCTTGATATGCATACACATGTACATAATCAAGTTTCTTCTCAGTTCATTTCAAAGCTGTCCACATCAGCTGAGTGTGTGTGGAGGGGTGGGGGTGGTTTGCAGGGACAAAAATCTTTTTTTTTTTTTCCAACTTCCCTAGATACAATATGTAGGTGATTTATCTTCAATGTTCACTGAAAGTGAAGAGAAAGGCTGAAAGGCTCAATCTTGTGTTCATATTTAACCCATTTATTTAGGGTTAACCCGTTTATATAAACCCACTGTATATTTATTGTGACATTTATTGGCAAAAGAACAGGATTAAAATTGTCCATTTCAGTAGAAAGAAATAAGTTTCTCAACAGGAAATTGCAAGGAGTGGAAAAAAAAAAAGATAGTCGAGTTTCTCTGGTGAGATTAGGCCTGCAATTTAAAGTAGTATGTCATGAAGAGGCATAGTAAGAGTATCTTTTAGTCGTGTACAATTTAAGAAACCTAGAACTTTTAACTTGGTGATTTACTCTAGTCATTTTTGTAAAAATAAACATTTTATAGAAAACAATAGAACTATGAACTTAAGTACCTCACATGTTTCTTCAATGAATGATAGCTATTATTATTATTCATTGATAGTATAACATTTCTAATTTCTTTGCTTTGTGACTATTAAGAAGCCAGTCACAATTCTCATAATCTTTCCATGTTTATTCACTTTGCCTTTTAAAATATTAATTCAGGCCTATTAAAATAGTGTCAATATAGCATACTGTTTTGTAATTTACTAACCACATTACCTTAGAACACTGTGTCAACCAAAAATATCAACCTATGTTTGACTTTACCATTTACAAGATGGAAAAAAATATCACCTCACTGGCGTGGACTCTTACAGGTGTAGCCCATACAAGCAATCCTGTGAGTCAACAATGTATTATAGATGAAAATGCCTTTCCAATACTTATTCAACTGCTAAGAAATCACCCTTCTCCTAACATTAAGGTATATATAAAGGTTTACTTTTTTTTCCTGATATGATAAAAATTAGCAGAAATATAATTTTAAAGAAAACTTTGTATCTTTATGCAAGTTCATAAATGTAAAAATATTTAATCTTTTAGACTAAATCCTATTTTTCTTGTAGAAATAAGCCAAAAATAAAAATAAACAAAATCCTAGAAGTTTTAAACAAAAAGGTTGCTTCAAACCATAAGATAACTAGTAAATTTTATTAAAAGAGAATTTCTTCAAATATGACAAGAAAATTTTATGTTTTTACTCTTCGAAGAAATTTTTACCTCAGATATTTGATTATTTATTTACAGAACTTCTTCCCTACCTCCCCAGACATCAGTTGCTAAAACTGGGCAGGGATAATGGGAATGTGTGACTTATATGGCAATATTTCTCAAATATTAGTGAATCTTGTCAGTACTATACCTCAAACCAGCCCTGCCTGTTGCCAAACAGCCTTTGCTGGCTTGAAGTAATAGTTTTAAAGGCAGGACATTACAAAGAATTATTGGGAGTTGTTCGGGGTCATCCAGTCTTTCATTTACTTCCACTAAAATACCTTTAATAAAATGACATTCACATCTATTCAAATACTTTTAACCAGGCTTTAGAAATTCAGGACATCTATAGTTGGCTAAGCAAGAAATTATAACAGCAAAAAATTATTTTATCTTCAAAATTTGGTATGTACACTGTTAGAGATGAGAAAATAGAGTAACATAGGAGGACAGTAGCTAAGTAAATACCTTTTTTTTTTTTTTTTTGAGACAGAGTCTCGCTCTATTGCCCAGGCTGGATGGAGTGCATTGGCGCCATCTCAGCTCACTGCAACCTCCACCTCCTGAGTTCAAGTAATCCTCCTGTGTCAGCCTCCTGAGTAGCGGGGATTACACGTGTGTACCACAACGCCCGGCTAATTTTTATATTTTTGTAGAGATGGAGTTTCACCATGTTGGCCAGGCTGGTCTTGAACTCCTGACCTCAAGTGATCTGCCTGCCTTGGCCTCCCAAAGTGCTGGGATTACAGGTATGAGCCACTGTAACCAGGCTGTTTCCCTTTTTAATCTTTATTTATTTATTTAAATTGAGATGGGGTCTCTCACTCTGTCAGCCAGGCTAGAGTGCAGTAGTGCAATCTTGGCTCACTGCAGCCTCTGCCTCCTGGGTGAGGTGATCCTCCCACCTCAGCCCACCGAATAGCTGCGACTACAGGAGTGCATCACCACGCCTGGCTAATTTTTTGTATTTTTTTGGAGATGGAGTTCCACCATTTTGCAGAGGTCGTTCTTGAACTCTTGGGCTCAAGAGATCCTCTTACTTTGGCCTCCCAAAGTGATGGGATTATAGGCATGAGGTACCACATCTGGTGCATTTTTTTTTTAAACAAATGTGTTTGTTATCAGAAAAAAAGTATCCATCTATATTTCAGTGCATGTTTTCAATGAGTTCTGAACTTTGTTTAAATAGACCATAAACATATTTCAATACTTTTTCTCAAAATAAGATTCTATAATGGACAAAATGTTTTGCAATAATTCAGTAATCATATTTTTCAAAGTCATAATGTTTTTCATATAAATGCATAGTATAGCACTTTAAAAACCTATCTAAGTCCCAATAATATACAAGATTCAGCTTCCTAATGGGCTTCAGAACGTGCATTAAATGGTTCCAGAACTAGAGGAGGAAAAAATAGCAGTACTATTCCTTAGTACTACTCCCCAAAGCTTTGCTTAAATTAATAGGTGCTGCATCAAAGCCTTACAACTCAATGATCAGTAGTTAACAAGCAGTTCAAAATAGCTTTTTAATCCATGTCAAAAAATTAAAACTTTTTTTTAAATATGGAAGGGATACAACTATGCACTTAATACCTTTTTACATACTTTGTTGGCAGTTATTCCCTTCTCCAGTGCCCTCAAATGGACCTCTGTGGTTGGTCTCTGAACACAGAGAGAAAGGATATCTTCTCAGTTGTTAAAAATTATGAGGGAGTTGTTAAGTGCAGCTATTTCACTAGTAAGATAACTGAAATCAATGGATTATATTTTATCAGATTTTATAGTATCTTTCCACAATGTATCCTATATAAATGCCTGCACAATGAAATGTGTAATTTCATAAAGCTAAGTGAAAAATAATTTCTGAAAATCACATATTTAGGTTGAAGTGGCATTTTCCTTGGCATGCATTGTCCTAGGGAATGATGTGTTACAGAAAGACTTACATGAAAATGAAGGATTTGAGTATGCTGATGTTTTTCATCTTCTTCGCTCAACAGAAAAGGTAATGCCTTTACAAAATATTGAGGGTCACTTAGAAAAAAATGGTTTTTATACCACCTCCTCAAATTATCTTCAAGTCTTCTTCATGGCAATATTCAGTGTATTATTTAAGAAAAGACATGTAAAAGATCTCTTTGTAGGTCATTAGTTTATAATAATGTGATAATACTGCTCCATATTTTTCTGAGTTGTCCCATTTCATTATTGAAATGCAGTAATTTTAATGTTTGGTGATGAGTCAAAAAACAAATCTCTTATATCCCAAATCAAATTTTAAAAATAATTTTCTGTGCTTTCAGCCCTCAGTCATTCACTTCTTATCCAATATGCTAAAGTGGTGCTTCTCAAACTATTTGTGATGAAGAAGTAGCTTTTTCCCAGCAATCTATTATGGAGGGATTTTTTTTAACTTTAAAACTTTTGAAATAATCTTAGACTTTCCAAAAATTAATAAAACTAGTATTCTGGCATATCCTTCATCTAGTTTTCCTAAATGTCAACTAGAACATTAACACTGATACAATACTATCAACTAATCTGCAGACATTATTTAAATTTGGCCAGTTTTCTCAGCAATGTCCTTTTTTTGGTTGTTTTTACATATTTTTAATTTAAAAAAATATTTTTATTTTTTTCGTGTCTACTTTTTGTTCCAGAATCTAATCCAGGGTCTCATATTACATCTAGATGTCTTGTCTCTTTAGCCTCCAGTTTGTGAAGCCCAGCCCTTCTTTGTTTTTCATGATTTCATTGGTCTTTTATGATTTTGACATTTTTTATGAATCCAGACCGGTTATTTTATAGAATATCTCTCAATTTGACTTTGATGTTTTCCCATAATTAATTGAAGTTAGACCTTTTGGCATGAATATCACAGAAGTGATGTAGTCTTCTTGACTCACCTTCCCAGTACATCGTATCATGAGGCATATAATGTTGATGTATCTTACTGGTAATGTTAACTGATTACTTGGTTAAAATGGGGCTGCCATATTTCTTCACTCATTGTTTTTCCTTTTGTAATGAATAAGTATCTTAAGGTGAGACACTCTGAGATTATGCAAATATTTTGTTTTGCATCACACTTTTGCTCACCAGTCTTAACATCCATTGATGCAACAATAATAAATGTAACATTTGCCTAAGGGCAATAAAAAAATTCCCTTCTTCCTCCTATGATTATTAGTTGATATTCAACGATAAAGATTTGTTTCTGTTCAATGTTTTTTCTCAGTTTTGTTATCCCACCGTTAATGATTTGTGGACTGTCACTTGTTCACAGGCTACACTTTCAATAGGACTACCCTAGAGAAATGAGAACTATTTTTTACAGGGCATTTCAAAACCAGGAAGTAAATTGCCAGTGATGTTTCTCTCAGTTCTGTGAGATTTTAAAGGAATCAAGGAGGGTCAGGAGGTGGGTGGGAATAAAGTCATGTTATTTTTTTAATATAAAAGTTTGCTCTACTGTGGTACAAAAAAAGGAAAGTGCTGCTATAAAAATATGGGAAATATTTTGGGAGGTCAAGGTGGGCAGATCACCTGTGATCAGGAGTTCGAGACCAGCCTTGCCAATATAGTGAAACCCCGTCTCTACTAAAGAGACAAAAATTAGCCAGGCATGGTGGCACATGCCTGTAGTCCCAGCTACTTGGGAGGCTGAAGCAGGTGAATCACTTGAACCCACGAGGTGAAAGCTGCAGTGAGCCAAGATCGCACCACTGCACTCCAGCCTTGGGGACAGCACTAGATTCATTTGGTCTCAAAAAAAAAAAAAAAAAAAAAAAAGAAAGAAATATATATGAAAAATAATAGAGTGAGGAGACTAAATGAATGTCTGAGTGACTCTCTAAGCCACATTTGACCCTCTGTTCCTTCTAGATTTTACTCTCATTACTTTACTCATGTGCACCCTTCTTCTCTCTTTTCTTTTACTACACATTCCACTATCAAGTATTCTGCCTTCCCTCCCACTTTGTTACCACCAACTTCACTCTCTAGACCCTTGATTTGTCTTATAATAGATATATTCAGGTGGATCAGTTCTACAAATGCTAGAGAATCTTAGAGAACTAGAAGGTTTAAGTATAAACCAAAGGATTTATCTGGATGTGACTAAAATTTTTAATTCTAAGGATCATCACAAGGCAAGTTAAAAGTCCTCTAGGGTTTCTTGTATTTTGTCTCAAACTACCTGCACTGTAGAGGCACATTAGTGCTCTTAGGGCTTTAGAAACAGTACCGAATTACTGTGGTCCTTCATTAAACCTATAGTGGGAGACTTCAGATTACAAAGACATGTTGTAGAAGTTAAAGGGGAGGGAGCGATGTTCAGCAGTTAAATATGTCACTGAATGAATCGCTATCTTATGGATAATAATAGGAATGCAATAAAAACTAGGTCAGGAACCCAGGAACCTAGGCACATCAATATTGTCACATGGAGATGCAACAAGTTATGTGTTGTTTTTAAATAATTTAATTATTCTCATGCTACCAAACTAGAATAATATATAAAACGAACCATTGAGATTGATTTCCACAAGCCACATAAAATTAGTCACATTAGTTATTGTTATTCTACTCTTTTTAATCAACTCAAATATGTGGCCTAATTATGAATATACTTTTGAAGAAATGTTAGTGAGCATAAATAACAGGCACTCTTCTCCCACTCATAAATCACAGTGTGTATAAAGTGAAGATAAGTAACCAGTGGGTATAACCACCTTGATAGACAGGCAAATGAAAATATACATGAAGTAAAGAGTTTAAGACAGTTGACATTTGGGAAAAAAAGTATGGAAAAATATATCTTTCCTCAAGGATTAATTTCTAGCCCTCTGAACTGGGAATAGCCAACTTGGTTCTTATCCTGTATCTGATACTAGCTGGCATGGTAGAAGTAATCAAACTATGGGATTCATTTTGAAACATTAATATCCACTTTATAATCTAAACTATTTACTGTAGACTTCCACAGTGATACTGCAGGAGTGAACCCTACATGGAAAAGAAGTGGAAATCGGTCAAGTCTTAGCATGTTTCTCTTACTTCCCTCTATCTGACGTCCTTTGGTACATTTCCCATTGCCATTCTTTTCTACTTGGCTCTAGGTTCTATTCTGCTATCTGTTAATCCACACTTTGACCAGGACTGAGACCTAGTTTCTCAAGCTTGACTGTACCTAATACTTTTCCTTCTGCCTGTTGCTAGGTGACCATTGTGTGTGTGTGCGTGAGACTTTTATTATGGAAAATTTCAAATATATATAAAATGAAAGGGTAGCATAATGAATCTAAATATTCCTGTGACCCAGTTTCAGCAGTCATCAACTCATAGCCAATCTTATTTGATCTGTACATCCACTCACTTCTACTAAATTATTTTCAAAGCAAATTTCAAGCATCATATAATTTTATTTATAAATATTTCAATATGTACATGCAGCATTTTAATATTATGATTAACAGTGGCAGAATAAAATTCAGGGCTGGCTGTGGTGGCTCATGTCTGTAATCCTAGCACTTTGGGAGGCTGAGGTGAGCGAACAGCTTGAGCTCATGGGTTCAAGACCAGCCTGGGCAACATAGCAAAACCCTGTCTCTACAAAAAATACAGGAAATTAGCCGGGTGTGGTGGAACACACCTTTAGTCTCAGCTACTTGGGAGGCTGAGGTAGGAGCACTGCTTGAGCCTGGGAAATGGAAATTACAGTAAGCCAAGATTACACCACTGCACTCCAGCCTGGGTGACAGTGACTCTGTCAAGAAGAAAAAAAGAAAATTCACTAAGATTAATGAGTTCTCTCTGTGTGTACTCCATTGTTCAAATAACATACTAATCATACAATATAATTCAATTATTTTTAATATTAAAAATAAAATTTAGTAATAAGATTTTATCTTTTGAATCTTTCTGGAAGATATACCACACTTATATAGCTTTGGCAAGCAGACTACTTCTACAGAAGAAACTAGCTTTTGCGGTCTGCCCAGCCTCAGAATGTTAAAATATGATTCTTAAAAATATTTTTCTCCTATTCTTCCTTAAAATATAGTACTATGTAATTTTACAAATGAATTTAAGAGACGATATGAATACCTAATAATGCATGGAATGCAATAGATAACATGCTATGTAAGTTTTGATTTCTCAACTCTACTTTGAAATGTTGAAAATTATAACATTCTGGAGTTCTCTGTTCTCTATTTTCTCTAGTAATGTCATATTCTACTCCCAGTGATAAGAATGTAATATATTTTAATGTGCCAAAGTCTATTATGTTGAGTAACATGATCAATGAAGTTCACTGTAATGCATGTTTCTCCTATTTTTAGGATATTTGCTTAAGAGCAGGGTACGCATTAACCCTTTTTGCCTTCAATAATCGCTTTCAGCAATACATAATATTGGAAAGTGGAATAATGACCATATTTATTTTTGTACCTTTTCTTGAATCAACAATCGAAACTGAGAAGGCAATGGCAGCATTTCAGGTATAAAATCAGAGATTAACTCCTCAAATTAATAAATATGTCATTTTTTGAAAACTTGAAAATTACAATTTGGAGGCCCAGAAAAATGTTTACTTGTTTGTAAAAATTTAGTACTTTGTATATAAGCCCCTCTACCTCATAAAAACTTGGGAGCTATGAGGATTTCTTCATTAATATAGAATTTTACAGGTTACAAGATGCTTATGCCTTTACACCTCATCTGATGTTTATAATAAGCCTGTGGGGTTGACAATTGGTATTATTTTCAATACCCCATATTAAAGGACATAGGCTGGGCACAGTGTCTTACGCCTGTAATCCCAGCACTTTGGGAAGCCAAGGTGGGCAGATCACCTGAGATTGGGAGTTTGAGAGCAGCCTGATCAACATAGAGAAATCCCATCTCTACTAAAAATACAAAATTAGCCAGGCGTGGTGGCACATGCCTGTAATACCAGCTGCTTGGGAGGCTGAGGCAAGAGAATTGCTAGAACTTGGGAGGCGTATGTTGCAGTGAGCTGAGACTGCACCATTGCAGTCCAGCCTGGGCAACAAGAGCCAAACTCCATCTCAAAGAAAAGAAAAATAAAAAAAGAAATAGGTAGAAAAATATGTTAGCATCCAAGACAGGTTTTCTAGCTGTAAATCTTTGGTTGATCACATTGACCCTTCAACCTAATAACGATTGTATGTATCTGGGAAGTCTTATTCTATTTTCTATCCTGTGCCCTTTAAGAGAAGTCGTTTCTATGAACTCATTGAAAGAGTGCAAAGATTGCAAGCATTGTAGGAAGAATAATAGCACTTCCTATGGTCACTGCCATGACCAGACAGGAACAAGTGCTCTTAACTCTCCACCCCCGACATGCTTCTTCTATTGAATCCTCTAAATACTTCATTTACTCTTCTAAAAAGTATCAAAGGAATAAAAAATTTTTAAAAAAATTACAAAAGTGTGGCCGGGTGCGGTGGCTCACACCTGTAATCCCATCACTTTGGGAGGCTGAGGCAGGTGGATCATGAGGTCAGGAGTTTGAGACCAGCCTGGGCAACATGGTGATATCCCGTCTCTACTAAAATACAAAAAATTAGCTGGGCAGGTGGCGGATGCCTGTAATCCCAGCCACTCGGGATGCTGAGGTGGAAGAATCACTTGAACCTAGGAGGCAGAGTGAGCCGAGATTGTGCCACGGCACATTAGCCTGGGCGACAGAACGAGACTCTGTCTCAAAAAAACAAACAAACAAACAAAAAATTACAAAAGTGTAGAGAAGCTGAGTAGAAAATGTGTAAAGATTCTCTTCTTTCTTCCTTTTTTTCTGTTTTCAGATTGTCGTATTGGCTAAAGTCATTAGAGATGTGGACCATATTACTTTGTCTTCAAGAGATGTTACTATTGTAGTTGACAGTCTGTATTCAGTTCAGACTTCAACTATTGTCCTGACAGGTAAGAAATGACTAGAAGTTAATTTTAGCCACATAAAACTATTTTCAAAAACAGTTTACTGTAATCTGAATAATAATAAAATAATACACCTGATACTCTGCCACAAGAACTCATGTTTATCTACATGGAACTCCACAGCAAGTCTACAGGAAACAATGGGTATCTACTCTGCACCCAAAATAGAAGCAGAGTAACTCTGAACAGACTTTTTGCTTTCCTACTTACTTTTCCAAACCCTTAATTATTTTTTTCCAGGATATAAATGAGAATTCAACTATGAACTACCAGAAGCAAAATCAAAAAACTGATTTATAATGGTGGTGGCAGATTTACACAGATGTACTTCTGTCTGGTTTTCTTTTGTCCAGTTGTGCACATTTTGCTAACACTGAAAAGTTATTTATGTCACTATGTAACAAAGCAAAGCAAGATGGTCCCATAGAGTTCTCAACACATTTAATGCTATTGCATAACTGCATCTACTGCAGACCTAACCCAACAGCTCACACGTATTAGGTGATCAGTAATATTTAATTGACTTGTTATACCTCTTTCAAATTAACATAAGACAGGGTCAGAATTATAGTAATATGCAGTAACTACTACCATTATAAAGAAACAAGTAAGTTATTTTTTTCTTTTTAACTAAAATGGATCTCTAAAGGAAACTTCACTTGATGCCATAGAATTCTATTTTTATGAAGTATATTTTCATGGCAAGGAAGGAAAAATGAAGCAATAAACGTTCTGATGGAAACTAGCTAGAAAAAAATGTTTAAAGAAGTTATTAAATATGTTTTAATCTAAATAACATTATTAATTCAGTGTTACAGTAATTCTGTGACTCTGAAAAACAACTGTAGTGGGTATACACTCCACAAACTCTTATGGGAAAGAAATGCTTTATTATACTAGCTTACAAATATTAAATTAATTTCCCCAGGATGAGGAGAAATGAATCTCAGAAATTACTGGACTTTCTCTGCACTCCATAACCAGAGTCATATGCATGCCCAGGGTATCTCCAGCAAAGCCTGATATTCAGGCCTCAGGTATAGTGTAAAAATAACTGATGTGCTTGATGTCAAGTTGACATGGTTCCGAGAAGAGTCTTCGAAGGTACAGAAGTTTTTAAGAGACTGTGATTTCTGTTACCAAGAATTCGGTTTTCCTATATATACCACTTAGCTATTCTCCACTCAAAGTGGAGAATACTCCTTTGAGAACTATAAACCTTAGTTCTCTTTCTTAGCTGCTCCCTTCGTTTCCATTTCTAACTTCCCATCTTTAAAGCTCTTTTTAATTTTAAATAGAGCTTACCTTTAGACGATTTTTGCTTTAGATGATACAACCCAGTTTTCCCCATTCTGAGGCAATAAACACAAAGAATTTCTTGGCTTATAATAGAGGCCAGACAAAAATACAAGGAAAACAAAAACTCAGGTCATATAGAATATCCACACACAAATATAAAAATACGTTTTCATTTTCAAACACAAATATACATAAAATAGTAAGTTGGTAGCTACACAATTAATGGGACACTTTATTATTTTAAATCTGAAAACATTTCTTTTTATGGTAAAAATGTCAATGAATTTAAACCTCAGTAAGCAATACATTGATTTTAAAGTATTAATAAAGCTTAAAGTCACTTCAACTGCAAAAAGGACATATTAAATGTTCTTATGATAATCAAATCATTATGTTCATAGTTATTTTTAAAACCCTAAAAACTTCAAAACAAAATATATTCTGAAGCTATGGAAGAAGGAAAACCTCTGATTTTCAAAACTGTACACCCTTACATAAACCTAGTTATACAGTTTGTGACAGAAAACCAAACTGTAATTTTGGGGCATTTATTCTGTATTTACATATGCATGCTTTTCCTCAGTGCTGCTTCATTGACAGAGGTGTCTTGTGACACAAACTTTTTTCAGTGCTATGTGCAATTAATGAAAATACTGTACGTTTATATCAATTAAATAACACAAACATTTTTCTTCTTTAATTTATAGGGAATTTAATAGCAAGCCTGATTCATTCTAGAGCTGGTATCTCAGAAGCATTTACCACATTTGAAACAATCAAACAGCTCTTCTATCATTTGTTCTCAGGGACAAAAGAGGTAAAAACAAAAAGCAACCAATTCTAAAATTAAATATGCTAAAACTATAATTTACCTTTCTGTGTACTAATTTTTCCATTGGTTGACTATGTTATATAATATAGTTCCTGTTCCTAACTCAAAATTAGATGACTTTTCTAATACTAATTAGTCATACATATCTGCCATTTACAATTTTAATTCCTATAAAAATATACATTTGTTTTAACTCTAAGACTTAGGATTTTAATAACAAAAGCAGTATAAAACAACTGTAATTAAAGATTTAAAAAGAACTAACTACCTGTTCAAATTAGTTTCTGATTTAGAAAACAAAAAACCCTATATAATAGGTGATCTAAATGCTGGAATTAAGAGTCAATTTATAAATACATTGATGACAAAGAAATTTATAATTAAAATGTTTGTCAAGTAACAAAAACAGATGACTCTGATCTAAGTCATTTCTATGATTTGAAATGAATGAAAATGGAATACATAGGATAGTTTTCCTTATGTGCCAAGCAGGGTTAGATGTAAGGGTGTGTGTAAGAGGCTGTGCTGGTCACAGCAGTGGCTTGCCTCTGAGTGTTCCCCAACTCTCTTCCACTAAGGTCTAAAGCAGTGTTACTCCACCTTTAGAGTGTATCAGAATCACCTGGTGGGCCTGTTAGATTGCTTGGCCCCATTCCTGGAGTTTCTGAGCCAGTACATTTGAGGTGGGCCCTAGAATTTGCATTTCTAACAAGTTCCCAGCAGCTGAACTGCAGGTCCAGGGTTCAAGGTGTAGAAGACATATGAGCATACAGAGCAACTGGATGCCAACATAAAGACCAATATGTTTACTTGATGAAACTTTTTATGCTACCACCTATCATATTCCATAACAACTGCCCAGGAGCATACTTTACTTAATTAGTCTTATGACCAACCTATGGGTCATAGACAGAGGGAATTTTCCTCAAAGAACTATTTTTTTCTAGAGTCCTGTGGTCTGATACTTGCGCTTCTTTCTTTGTTTTGAACAGTGGAAAAGTGAGTTGCTTTAGTAACATCTAAATGTTAAAAAAAAAAAAAGTAATAAGTAAATAAATGAGTTGCTTTCCCTAAGATTTCTGTTGCCAAGAGTTCAGGTTTCCTACATGTACCACTTAGCTATTCTCCAGTCAAAGTATCTGGTCCTATTTCTGTGAGAACTATAAACAAAATAATTAAATAAGAGTTTCTAGGGGTGGAACCCAGGCATAACTGTCAGTTATATGGGTGATGCTAATGGACTGTCAGGGTTGTGCTCCACTGCCTTAGTTCAAACTCAAAGGTTCTTTCTTGGGCAGTACATTAGAATTACCTGTCACACCGTAAAAAAAGAAGGAAAAAAGCCCAGATTCTACCCTCAAAACATTTTGATTTATTTGGTGGGCTTTAAAAAAAAAAAATTCTGAAAGGTTCTAAAATGTAGTTAAGATTGAGAACTAACAGAAATCAATGGCAGTTGACAGCTCTTGGTAAAAATATGACTGTTAAGCTTCCATCTATACATTGCCATTTGTTTGCATACATATTTGCTTACACTTGCTCCCTCCCTTACAGAGACTTTCCTATGCAGTAGCTAATTAGATCACTAAGATATTTTAAGAACAAAGCCCATTGGTTAAGAAAGAAATGTTTCTTCATTTAGGTTCATTCAGCTTGTTCCACTGCTCTTGGCTACCTAACATATAGTGCAAATGCTTTCCGCATCCTATTAAAGGAATGCAGGGATAAACCTAATCAGTTCATTTGTATTAAAAAATAATATCAGCAGAGATGCGAGTATTAACCCAGCATTTTTGAAGGAATTTCAAATGCAACAAATGGTGAAACTTCCTCCCATAAGGTATGGTCCTATATTAGAAGTCGCAGTAGTCAAATTATTGATAGAGGAAACTTTAAGGAGGTTTAGTAAGAGCAAACAAGAGGAACTATTCTTTATATGAATATATCTTCTATATAGCAGAGGATAAACTTTATTCTAAATGGCCATTGCCAAAACCTGTTTTAATTGCAACTTAGCACCAGAGTTGTGGGTGCAGACAAGAATACACCTAGATCTTGAAGATCCTCTCTGGCCAGGATTATTCATATTTTAGGAAGTTTTTGGGAGACTGGTGACCACCACATCTGATTCAAGAAGTCACTTTTTAGTAGACTAGGGGTACATTTGACAGTTCTGAGACAAGAGCATCACCCCGACCTTAGCATCAAATGGGTCTTCTAGACTAGGCCAAATTCCCAGGGTAGAAACAGGGCTAAGTTAGGCTTAGTGGTTAAAATTATGGTGAAGTTTTCCAGGGACTTAATTCAGAGGATTTCAACTCACTGTTGTGGTTTCATCACAAACTTAAGTCCCCCCTAAAGAGGAAGAGAGGAGAATCTCTTTACTATGGGTAAATTATCTGTTCTGTAAATGGAATTGAATTACAAGTTTTCTCTGCAAGTAGTGATATTCATACATAGGAAATAGAACTACTCAAAATACATGATTAACTCTATGATAATGGAAAAGAATAGGATCCAATAGAGCATCATGGTTATCTATGATTGTAGATAACCATGTACAAACATAGATTCTCCAGCAATTTTAAGTACAGAGAATGATGAGTACATCTTTGGATCTACTTTGTTTAAAAAAACTGAAAGTCTGAAACGGGTGACCTAATTTTATGATAAGCCAAGGAACCTATATTATAACTGTTGTAATTGATAATGCTAAATTATTTTCACTGGTTCAAAAAATTACAACAAATAATGTAAGTAGTATTTTACACAGTGACTCCCACGGCTAGCCCATGGGATGACTTCGTGGGAAGTAGAAAAATATACCCCTTTTTCAGACCTATCTTCTTCAAAACCCAGCTGAAGTCTCTTCTTCCGTAACACTTCCCCTGATCACTTCAAGCAGATTTAATGTTCCAAATGCTTAGAGTAAATGAGTAAATAAGTGACTGAATATAAAATACTTACATGTAACATGCAGTTAGTGGAGGTAACATGTATGAATTAGGTCATTAGGCATTAAACCTGGTACCATTATTTCTTCATATATTTTTTCTGGGTGCATTATGTATTTATTTTAATAATGATAAAAATGTTTTTCTTTTAGTCTGGAGAAGAATGGAGGATCATCCAAAATTCCTATCTTTAAAAAAGGTATTTAAAAGAACTTGTTCTAACCCAATGTAAAGAAACTAAGAACTTTGAAAAAAGGTTTGATGAAATGCTGAAAAGAATAGACAATATAGAGAGGAATATAAATGAACTAAAGGAGTTGAAAAATACAACACGAGAACTTAGTGAAATATGCACAAGTTTAAATAGCAGAATGGATCAAGCAGAAAAAAGGATATCATCAGAGGTCAAAAACCAACTTAATGAAATAAAACGACAAGACAAGAATAGAGAAAAAAGGATGAAAAGGAATGAGCAAAGTCTCCAAGAAATATGGGACTATGTGAAAAGACCCAATCTACATTTGACTGGTGTATCTGAATGTGATGGAGAGAATGAATCCAAGCTGGAAAATACTTTTCAGGATATTATCCAGGAAAATTTTCCCAATCTAGCAGAGCAGGACACTATTCAACCCCAGGTAATACAGAGACCACCACAAAGATATTCCTCAAGAAGAGCAACCCCAAGGCACATAATCGTTAGATTCACCAGGATCGAAACGAAGGAGAAAATACTAAGGGCAGCCAGAGAGAAAGACCAGGTTACCCATAAAGGGAAGCCTATTAGACTTACAGCAGATCTCTCAGCGGAAACCCTATAAGCCAGAAGAGAGTGGGGGCCAATATTCAACATACTTAAAGAACAGAACTTTCAGCCTAGAATCTCATATCCTGCCAAACTAAGCTTCAAAATTGAAGGAAAAATAAAATCTTTTATGAACAAGCAAGTACTCAGAGATTTTATTATCACCAGGCCTGCTTTACAAGAACTTCTGAAAGAAGCATTATACATAGAAAAAAAAAAAAAACCAGTATGAGCCTTTCTAAAAACATACCAAAAAGCAAAGAGCATCAACATAAAGAAGAATTTACATCAACGAATGGATAAAATAGCCAGTTAACATCAAATGGCAGTAACCCTAAATTTAAATCGACTAAATCCCCCAATCAAAAGATACAGCCAAAACCTAATAGTATATCCAAAGATACACAAAGACTCAAAACAAAGGTTTGGAGAAAAATTTACCAACCAAATGGAGAGCAAAAACAAATAAATAAACAAAAAGCAGGAGTTGCAATTCTCACATTTGATAAAATAGATTTCAAAGCAACACAGATACAGTGGTAAAAGGATCAATGCAACAGTAAGAGATCCTGATACCCAGATACATAAGACCCATAACGAGATTTAGACTCAACGAGACAGAAAATTAATAAGGATATCCAGGACTTCAACTCAGATCCAGAACAAGTAAACTCAATAAATATTTATAGAGTTCTCCATTTTAAATACACAAAATATTGATCAGCCATTATTAATATCCAATGGCTATTTCTGCAACCCCTGCATGCTCAGAGACCCTTTGGGGTGAACCTCCTGGAGACTGAGCCCAGGTGCCAGAAGACTCAGAAGCAAGGACAACTTTATTCAGATCCATGGTTGAGTTACAAGTTTGGTTTGATTTTTGGTCACAAGTCCTAAAATGCCATTATTCTGAGTTTATATCTAAATACAAAGCCCAAAACATTTACAGTTTGAAAAACATTAAAGCAAATCCCCACCACCCCACGCTGAAAACAAAGGCTTGGTTTGAAAATCACCACCAAGATGCTGTTCTCCCTGGTGTCTGTGGGGGAATGAAGGTGTAGGAGACCCCATGCTGGTTTCTGTCAGGGAATCCATAGTTTTGAATACTTGATGTTAGTGAAGATGTGATGCTTCTGACCATCTTTGGCTGCAGAGCAGAAACTGGCAGGATCTGACCCCATCAACCCAGCAGTGTCCCCAGCGCCTGAAGACCAGCACCCACCTGTGACAAGGCACGAGCTGGCTGCTGCTCTGGGTGATGTGCTCGATGGACTGCAGTCTGTAGTGAAGCACCCGGGCTCTGGAGAATCTCAGGCTCCTGAAGCATGAAATTCTATGGCCCAGTCTTGGAACAGCTGGGAGAACATGAAGAATGAATGCCCCTCACTCACAGTGAAGAATCAGAGGAGAGCCACTCTCTCTTTATTTGCATCTGATGTGTAAGCAGAGAGCCACTCTCTAGTGTTTTCAGGGCTCTTAGAAACTTTGATTCTTCCCTAGAGTGGAGGTTGAGCCACCATACTGGTCCCACACAGGGAGAGGAGGCACCACAACCCACTCTGCCCACCTCAAGACCAGCCAGTGGACAGGCCAGGCCTGAGGGGCTGCTGGCAAGCTGGCTCCTGAGCTTGATGCAGCAGAGTACCCAAATGGATACTGGAAAAAAGTTCCTGAGAGCTGGCTTGGCCGTGAGTCCTTGGTGGAGGGAGGGAGGAGCCGGTACTGAGCTGTGCTGTCACAGAGCATGGCTGTTGAGCCTGGCAGCCACTTCTTTGCTTCACCACATCTGCCCTGCCTTCTCAGTTCTGTTTCCTCCAGATGCTTCTGTGGCTGCAGGAACCACTCCCCAGGAACCTGAGGATGACCATATTCCCTTCTGGAGGAGTTCCCAGATCCCCTCAGGTCCAAGGGTGGGACTGTGTGGCAAATCCCCCCCGTGCTCTGAAGGCAGCTGGCGCCCTCAGGGCTGGTGCAGCTTCCCCGCTCTGTCAGCAGCGTCAAGGCTGAGGCGTAGAGGATGTAGCCCAGGGCGATGAGCCGCGCACGGGGAGGGGCCCAATGCAGAACAGGGAGGCCACAAAAAAAACCAGCAGCAATGAAAGCAGCGTTGGATAGCAACCCAGGAAGCACAGGCTGAGCCTGGGGCCACGGGCATGACCGGCCACCTGCGTCTGCCCTACGGGGCTCAGCAGGTGTCTGCTGGCCACCCCAGGTTCTATGAGGTGGTAGCGACAGAAGCTACTGAGAAAGTCGTCCCGGGAACACAGAGCCACCATCTGGCCTGCAAACTGAAGCACGGAGGCATAGGGGCATGGTGAGGTGGCACCACAGGCCTCAGGACAGCAGTGCCTCACCCCCACAGGCCACCCCGAGACTGCATCCCAAGCAGGAGCATCCAGAACCCTCTCTGAAGAGGCCAGGCTGGCCTTCCTGCCCACTCACTCTGTGGTTGATGGCAGACAATAGCCTGAAGAGTGCACAAACCAAGCTGGCGATCTCATAGCTCCAGATGGGCTGTAGCTCTGGGTCTCCCTCGTACTCAATTTCAAACCTGCACAGCCCAATGATGATCTAGAAACCCAGGCCATGGGGATGGGTCAGAAAACACAGCCCTGCACACAACTCAGAGGAGCCTAGTGGCCTCTGCTTGTGGGGGAGGGGGGAGCTGGGGATGAATCGGGGCCAGGCCACAAGCCTCCAGGACCCCGACCTCTCACCTGGTACCGGCCCAGGGGTGTGAGGATGAGTCCGCCCTTACCCACGATGTAGTCGGGGAGCTGCTTCTTTCCATTCTCATCCTACGTGGTGCCCAAGGCAAGCGTGAACTGCCTGAGCTGCCTGTCACTGAGCTGCCAGAGAGAAGTGCCTCTGCCCTCAGCGTCAAGGTGAAGCGAGGGAACTGGTCTTCACCCCACTGGCCTCCAACCGTGGCAACAATGGGACCCAGACAGGACACTCGGGGTGTGGGCCTGCCTCCCACAACACTGGATCCATCTCCGTGGTGCTTGGGACTTGGTATGTGGCTGACCACGGGCTAGGGGCAGTGACTCCTGTGGGGAAGGGGACCCCAATGACCATGGGACAGGCCCCATAGCTCATTCCTGAAATATCTGGCGCAGGTACTCCAGGGCCTTCTCCAGATATTCATCCATCTTCCGGACGGTGTCCTGCCCCATCTCATCCAGGTCATTGGCTGGGTAGGAGCCATTGGTGTCTGTGGGGCCAAAGCCCAGCCACAACAGGAAGGGGTAGCCAGCTGGGCCCTCCGCACACTGATCTGAGATGGACTTGGCTGTGTGCTTGGCCTGCGTGATGAGCTGAGCAAAGTGTAGGACCTACAAGGGAGGTGCGGGCAGGTCACCAGCAGGACAGGCCTGTGCTGCCAGCCAGGCAAGCCGGCTGGGGGCCCCAAGAGCAATGCACAGCCAGACCTCTGAGTGCCAGGAGGAGCAACTTCCACCAGAAGACTTTTAAAGACCAAAGGATGATCTTCTAAATGTGAAATTTCCCCACAAACACTGCCTTCGCTAGGAAAAAATGAGACTTTACTGAAATGGTGGAAGGAGATGCGGCATCAACTCTACACCCAGCCTCCCTCCTTCCCCCTGGAACCAGCACCTCACGGGCTCTGCTCAGCGCCACGGCTCCAGGGGCCCTGAGGACAGGCCCCGCCGATCCATTCACCAGGGTGTGGATCTCGGGCCCAAACATCAGGTTGTACTTGCAGCCCTAGCCCTCCAGGCTGTACATGTGGCTCTTCACCTTGAAGGAGGCATCAGTGACTGCTGGTGGCCACAGTGACAGGAAGCTGCCAGTGAATGTGGGGGCCATGAAGAGTTGGTGCTGGCAGTGGGGGATAACCAGCTCTGGAAGACAGGAGATGAACTGGTGTGCATTTCCAGAGCACAGAGTACCCACTGCTGCCCTTAGGATTCTGGGGTGCCTGAGGTGTCTGGGAAGCCATGATCCAGAGGTGTCCTCCTGAGGCCCTGCCTGGTGGCATCTCCAACACAGTAGGCAGCAGACATGAGCTCCCAGCAGTGTTTGCAGGAGGCAAACACCAGGAGGAGCAACAGAAACCAACACCCAACCCAGTCAGGATAAATGCACGGCAGAGACCAGGCTCACCTCCTGAGACGGCTGTCACGAGTCACCCTGAAGAAACGGCAGGGCCATGGGGCCACAGCTTGGACTGTGCAGCACCCCCCACGTTGGCACACCTGTGGTCTCCTACCTAGTGCCTGGTGGCTGCAGGGCAGGCAGATTTCAGCCAGTCTGACTTCACTGCACAGATGTGCCCCAGGAGTCTCCATAGCATCCTTTATCAGGGCTCACTCTAGAAGCATGGGTCCCTCTTAAAAGGCAGCCACCACTAGCTAAGGGCCTGACCCTTGTCTGCCCGCTTGCCCCATGCCGAGGACTTACCTTTCTGGATCATCTCAGCCAGGTTGGGCTGGGCAAAGACTTTAGCCACTCGGAACACCATGAGTGCGTGCTTGGGGCCGACCAGGTCTGTGCAGAACGCATGGTTCAGGAAGCCCACGAACAGTTTGGTGTACACCAGCAGGTTCTCCAGGACAAAGGGCGCCCTGGGGACCGAGGTGGCAGGTAGGGGTCAGCCTTCCCACTGGAAGTGGGGCTGCAGCAGTCCATGCCCCTAATGCCCCTGCTCGTCCTTGGGCTTACAGACTCTCCCTGGCCAAGGTGACAAGCTGTCATAGAGGACAGATGAGGGGGCCATGGGTGGGCAGGACAGAGGCAGGTGAGATCCAGGCCCTCTGAGGACACTTAGCAAGGCTGAGGCCCATTCCAAGTGGACTGAGACCACCACGGCAGAGACCGGCCCAGAGCCTGAGGGAAGGTCCCCGAGATAATTCAAAGGGGAAGGCCTTGGGCAAGGAGGGGAGAGGCCAGTGGCCACACCAGGTGCCATGGAAGCCTGGGGTCTGCTGTGAGGATCAAGCAGGGATGGGGGAAGGCGGCCACAGCTCTCCCCTGTGCTGGTGAGGAAGGGTCAAGGGATGGTTTGGGATCACGGTGAACATTCATCTGGGCCAGAAGAGAGAATGGACAGGGCAGGATGGGTCAATCACTGCTTCCATGAGAAACCAATTCTAGGGCCTGGCAAAGTTGAGCCTAGGAAAGGTTGGTCTGTGATCCACTCATTGGGGGCTGGGAGAGGAGCCCAGGAGGCCGCCAGGGCCAGGCTGACCCCAGCACAGGCTGCTGGCTTGGCCTCCACACACTGGAACAATGTCCACCAGGGGAGCCAGTGGCACTGAGGCTCACTTTTTCTCTGAAACAAACCGGGGCTTGGAGTCGCTGCCCAGAGGCTGCTTGTCAGGTACATAACCGCCACGGCTGCAGGTAGCTCAGCCACATCTCCAGGACCTGTGGGTGAGGTGTGTGCTGAGGGCCAAATCCTCCAGTGGCCTGGAGCATGGGTCCCAGGCAGCAGCTGTGTGGGACTGGCTCTGCCCATGTACCCCAGAGTGCTCAAGAGAGACGCACACAGCCCAGTGAGGTTTGGCTCTCTTGATGACCCTTCAGAAGCCAAGGTCATGGGCAAGCCTTTCCCAGCTGAGGGGGCCAAGTGCTCCCTGGTTGGATAAAGGTAAGAACCTGCCCGGCACCAGACATATGGGACAGGGCAGGGCTTTCCTGAGAGCTAGCACTGAAAACTGAAACAGAAAGAACAATGTGGCTTCCCAGTCCCCCTCCTTGCCAAGGCCTGTGACTACACTTGCTGTCTTCCTTCATCTGCCCCAGAGGACCTCCCTCCTCGGGGCACACAGAGGACCCAGGCACAAATGTGACAGGGCCAACACTCAGAGCTCTGAATGATGCATCCAGGGGCCAGCGACCAAACCAATGCTGCAGGAAGAGATAGTTTCTGCTGGACGAACCTCGGGACAATGGCCGTGCAGGGGATGGGGAGGGTCACCTGCTGCTTGCCCGATAAGGAGGCCCTGCTAACAGATGAGCCTGAGGCTCCCATCATCGAGGGTCAGCTCCACCCAGCACCTCTAGGAAGCTTAGCCCCTTTCTTCGGAGGAAGAAATAGAGGTTAAGACAGGTCAAGGAACCTCCCAAGGACACACAGCACGCAGGCAGAGAGTCAGTGTGGTTCCTGCACACACCTCACCTCAGCCCCACACAGACAGCTCCAGTGGGCCTGGGAGCCAGGGCAGCCCCAGCCCTTTTCCTGACAGGGGTGGAAGAAGCAAGAGACAACAGCACGGCAGGCCAGTATGGGGAGAAGCTCTGCGAGTCAGCTGAGAGGGTGAGAAGGCACCTGCCTAGGCCTCCAGAGGCATCACATGCTCTATGGGCAGGAAGGGACTCCCCTCACTCTGCCCCCCAATGCCCTGGGGAAAGGTCATGGTGGGTGACACCTGAGGAGGGAAAAGCAGAGGAGACAGCAGCGGTGGGAGGCCACAAGGGCCACGCACTGTTTGAACTCCTCCAGGGGGCTGGTGGCATGGGAGTGGTCAGAGGGCGAGGCTTGCTCTGGCTTCAGGCTGTTGGCAAAGGCATGCAGGTGCTTCAACAGCAGGTGCACCACCAGTACATGCTCCTCAGTGGGTGTGAACAACTCCTAGGTGGAGGAGCAGGTGTCAGGGCCAGGGAAGGGCCGCAGCGCCCACAGCACTCGGCATCCAGGTCTGACCACATCCCACCTCGGGTTGGTTGTTCTGCTTCCCCACAGGAGGCATGAGCCAGGCCAGGAGTGGAGCCACCCCCTGGGACACACTATGCCTGGCACCCAGAAGATGTGCCTTGCACTGCTTGGTCTAAACTACAACCAGCCAGTGGTAGGGAAGTGCTTGGCCCAGTACCCACACAGCCCACCTGGGGGAGGGCTGGCTAAGACAGACATATCTTCAGAGGGCCTCCCAGCCCTGCTTCTGTACTGCTGCATACCTGCAGTGAATAGCACAGGCCGCAGCCCACCAAGCGATGCCCTTGGGAACTCCTGCCTGCCTTGATCCTCAGGGCAGAAGGCTGGCATCACCCCCAAGCTCTGGATCCAGGGTCTCCCACCTGCCTCCCAAGTGTGTGCAGAAAGCACATGGAACCCAGGTGAGGTGCCTCAGACCTGTAATCCCAGCACGTTAGGAGGCTGAGGTATAAAGACTGCTAAGGCCAGAAGTTCGAGATTAGCCTTGGCAACACAGGGAGACCCTGACTCTACAAAAAATTTTAAAAAGTTCGCTGGGTGTGGTGGTGCACACCTATAGACCTAGTGACTCAGGAGGCTAGAGTGGGAGGATCACTTGAGCCCAGGAGTTCAAGGCTGCAGTAAGCTAGGATCATGCCACTGCACTCCATCCTGGATGACAGAGTAAGACCTTGTTCAAAAATAAGAATCCCATGGCTTTGCTTTCCTCCCCAATTCCTTCCACTGCTCCTTATTCTGGACACAGCCAGGCTTGGCCCATGAGAAGCCCCAGGCATCACTTCCTCTGTTGCCCAGGGACCTGTGGTCAGGAAAACTCCAAGACAAAAGCAGTCAAGCATACAAGGCCAAACTTTTTTTTTTTTTTTTGAGACAAGGTCTCCCCGTCACTCAGGCTGGAATGCAGTGGCACAATCTCAGCTCACTGCAACCTCTGCCTCGCAGGTTCAAGTGCCTCAGCCACCCGAGTAGCTGGGACTACAAGTGTGCCCCACCACGCCCAGCTAATTTTTGTATTTTTAGTAGAGACGGGGTTTCATCATGATGGCCAGGATGGTCTTGAACTCCTGACCTCAGGTGATCCACCCACCTTGGCCTCCCAAAATGCTGGGATTACAGGCCAAACTTTTGATTTACAAGATACAAGCAGAATCCTGGAGACCTAGCCGAAGAGGAAAGCCTTTTTGCTGGCCATGGGCTTCCTCTGGTTGCTCAGCATTGGGAGGGCTGGCGGGAGCATTGAAAGTGGACGAGGGAAGGGGAGTGGGGGCGCTCTGAGTGGACATGCTCACCTCTCCACGCTTTGTTCCCCAGCCCTTTGTGCCTTAACACATCAGTGATGCTAAGTCTGGTGCAAGGCCCAGCCTCCGGCTATATCCTGGGATGCTGCAGACCCCAAATGGGCCACTACCCATATTGCTGCCCACTCAAGTCTCCATCAGGAAAATGTCCCCAAAGGTCCAGGTGACACTCAACAGATCAGTGGCTGAGTCTGAGGATGGAGGTATGGGTGGGAGGCATTTTCTTCTTTTTGAGACAGGGTCTCATTCTGTCACCCACACTGGAGGGCAGTGGCGTGTTCTCAGCTCACTGTAGCCTCTGCCTCCTGGGCTCAAGGTATACTCCCACCTCAGCCTCCCGAGTAGCTGGAACACAGGCACACACCACCACATCAAGCTAATTTTTGTATTTTTTTTTTTTTTTTGGTAGAGACAGGGGTCTCGCCATGTTGCCCAGGCTGGTCTCAAACTCCTGAGCTCAAGCAGTCTGCCCGCCTCAGCCTTCCAAAGCACTGGAATGACAAGCATGAGCCATTGCACCTGGCTATTTTCTTCTATCTTATATTAAGTCTTTGGGCAATGAATTTGCATTGTTTTGGAAGGAAGATCCTTTGAAATCTAGGTGGAAAATTAAAAAAAAAAAAAGGGAAGGAAGAGCCAGGTGCAGTAGCTAATGTCTGTAATCCCAACACTTTTTTAGGAAGTCGAGGCAGGCGGATCATTTGAGGTCAGGAGTTTGAGACCAGCCTGGCCAACATGGAGAAACCACGTCTCTACTAAAAATACAAAAATTAGCCAGGCGGATTGCTCATGCCTCTAATCCCAGCCACTCAAGAGGCTGACAAAGGAGAATGGCTTGAACCTGGAAGGGGGAGATTACAGTAAGCCGAGATCATTGTCACTGCATTCCAGCCTGGGCAACACAGCAAGACTCCATCTCAAAAAAAAAAAAAGGAAAAAATAAGGAGACAAGTATGAGATATAATAGCTGTACGTATACTGTCCAGCTAGAATGGCACCAGCGGGGAGGGAAGTTAGACCAGGGTCTTTCTCCTCCAGTCTCAGCCCTGGATCTCCCTCTGATCCTGTCCTGAGATCTTGAGCAGTGACATCCTCCCTGTGGCGCGGGGAAGGGGACAGCCTCCACATGGAAACTGGAACACTGCCTTCCTCGCTAGTGTACTTGCTCTACCTCACCTGGTCCTTCTGAAGGGTCTCGAGGGCTCAGTGTCTGCTCATGCCCCAGCATGGGGCAATTGCATGGAACCCTCACAGCCTATTTTCCTGTATTTGCTGAGCCAAACTTCTCCCTCAGCTCTGCACCCCTGCTGGGCCGCCATGTTCCCACATGGATCCCCTGGCCACAGTCGTACCTGTTTGCTTCTTAAGGATATGTTCCCAAAGCCCCACATTTCCCACTGGGTCCAGCCTCACAGCACCTCAGCTCACACCACCTGGGCCTCACTTGTCACCCCTCCCACCATGGGGTTTGCCGGATGCTTCCTGGACACTGCCCTCCCTCTCTGACCCAAGCCCTCAGGTCCCTCCTCTGCAGTGACTCCTGTGGAACAGGGGTGCCTCAGTGTGCTGTGGCCACCATCCCAGCCCACTGGCACACGGGGGCCAGCACGTTTTCTCATCTTGTGCTCAATTCCCATTCAATCACGTATGCTCCTTCCCAGGAGAATGGGACAGATTTGGGCTGCGAGCACAGCTCGTCTCCTCAGGCTCTCCAAGATTCGTTAACTCTGCCATCCCTGAGCCCCTACAGGTCTGAACTTAGTTTCACTGACCTCAAATCCATCCACACGCTTGTCAATTTTGCCTAGACATCCACAGCCTCTATGAGGTTACCACCTCTATTGTCATCTGCCTCTGGAGATGTGCATAAGTGGCCAGGGCTCCCCGGTGAAGGCCAGGCCCTGGCCAGGTTAAGGACTGACAGCATCTGTGGGCTACAGGGCCAAGCCCCAGGTCATCCCCACCCCCCTGCCTCACACACAGGCTCTGAGTCACAGCACCTCCAGGCTGGGTGATAGTTCTGAACAAAGCAGAACCCACACCACCCGTAAGTCCCAGGCCTGTGTGTCTTCAGCTCCTTCCTGAGCGGCAGACCCTGCAGAGTGTGGGTAAACCAGGCCACTGCAGAGGCCTGAGGACTCCAGTTCTCCAAACCAGGGCCAAGCCCCAGCCTCCAACACTGGAGAGCTTGTGACACCTCCACTGACTGGGAGCTTGGCCAGCCAGGGCCACATGCCCACATGCCTCTTCTGCCACACAGCCACATCCCCCACCCCCACCCCCAACCAAGCTGGTCTGCAAAGCCAGGGCCTAGGCCAGGCTGGAGGCTGACCCCTGCCTCCCCCAACACAGGGGCTTCGCTCTGCCTGGAACTAGCCTCTTAGTCACCAGTGGCCAGCCCTGCCCGGCCCCCTGCTTTTCCAGATACAGAAATGCACTCTGGGCAGGGGGAAGGGAACGAATGAGCGCAGCCAGTACTTGGTAGGCGTGGAGGGCCTGGAGGCTGGGTTGGGCAGGGCTGTAGAGGGTGCTGGAGACACTGAGTCGGTAGTGCAGAACCTCCAGCTGAGACAAGGAACAGAAAGAAGCCGGAAGAGGCAGAAGAGCAGAGAACAGGAGGATGGGGTGGGGAAGTGAGGAGAGAGGAACAGACACCGGAGGGGCAAGCAGAGAGAGAAGAAAAGCAATGAGAATGAGCCCAGAAGTGAAAAGAAAAAACAAAAACAAAAGCACGGTCAGTGATAAACCAAACAACTGCAGTCCCAGCAGCTGTGGGCCGGCGCAGCTCCCCTCTCTGCAGTCAGGCCAGGGCTGTGGCCGCATTCTCCTCAGCCTTAGCGGCCCAGGCAAGTGGACCCTCCAGGTTACCTGGGTGGCCCCTCAATGTCGCTGGGGCCTAAAGGCCTCCCCAGCTCATTGAAGGGCCCAACTCACTGCCCTTCCAGATGGGGCCCACTCTCCCCAGTGACTCTGAGGTCACACTGTGTGTGGTACCACATACCAGAGCCCTCCAAGAGCCCAGGGCCCTCGCTGGGACATGCTCCCAGCCACTATGACCTCAAGGTCCTGAGGCTCAGAAAAACTAGTGGAGCATGTTCCAGGAGGAGGACTCTGTACAGAAAAGACATATTGACTGGATTTCTCTGGGTTATCTTGAGAAATTTACCAAATTGGTATAAGACATGATCAATTCCTTTGTGTCTAGAACTCAATGTCCCCTTCATGAGTGGCTCTCTGAGAACTGCAGATGAGAACAGGTCCCCAGGGCTAGCAAAGAGATGAGCACAGACTCAGGCCACCACGCCCCGCTCTCCACACCTCACAGTCTGGAGGTCAGCTGAGGTGGTGTGCACATCAGTTCTGACTCCAGAAACCCTCTCCTACTGCACCAGGAACTCCTACCCTCCAGATATAGTAGGTTTTTAAGGCGGGATCTGGCCACAGCCACACATACCCAGAGGCAGCAGGAACCTGAGGCTGAGCTGGCTCCTAATCAGAACCCTCCAACCTACTGCCCCGCAGCACCACAGCCTGCCGAAGCAGCCCTTCAGCCCAGTGCAGCCAGAGCTGGCCTAGCATACATCCTGTCCTGCGAGCAGCATGCCCCTGCCCAAGCAGCGCATCCAGTGGACTCCAGAGGAGAGATCAGAACACATGCCAGACACCATTACATGCAAAGCAGGGCGGGGAGCTGTTGCCCTCCACAGCCTTCCCTGTGCCAGACCTGAGGCTCAGGCAGGAATCAGACACACAGTTCCCTAGTGTTGGTCTCTGCCCTCGCCTGCAGGAACACAGTGGCCTGCAGGAACACAGTGGCCTGCAGCCCCATGGCCATCCTCACTGCCCACAGGACCACTGGAGAGCAAGCATGTACCCTGGATTCAACCAGGGTGAGGAGGACGACCCCAGGAACCTCACTTCCTGCATCTGGAAATAAGGGCTAGCAGGGATGGGCAAAGATTTCTGTATGGCAGGTGCAGTACAGGCCTGGGCAAGTGGCAAGAAGCCTTGGGGACGTGGACCTCCACAGCTGCCTTTCTCTGGCTCCCACCTACCCAGTTTTCTCGTGTTTTGCCTCAACTGGAAGAGGTGAACAGTGGAGCATGTCTGGGCCCTTGGTCCAACCACTGCAAGTCACTCTGAGCAGGGCCCACACACCTCAAGGTCTGGCCAAGAGGAAGCAAATGTGGGGAAGAAGGAAACGACACCTCCTGCCCTCCACAGGAACAGCCCCCATCCTTCCCCTGGCCCATGAGGACACACAGTCCTCATAGGCAACAGCCAAAAGAGCCTCTCTGGCTGGCCCTTGAAAGCAGGTGTGCTTCCACTCGCTCAGAAGGCAGAACAGGAACATAATGCAGTGCAGCGGCCCCTGCCCCTGCCAGGTCATGCCACACGCACAAGTGCTGAGCGAGCGTCCCAGAGCCCTTCATGGGGAACGGGCCTTGGCAACAACTGCCAGGCACATGCAGCAAATCTGCTCTGAAACCAGGAAGGGCACTGCAGGCTCTTTGTGACTCAGGAGGCCCAAGAAGGGGTCCTCAGCTTTTCCTCACTCCTCCCATGTGATGCTGAGGATAAGGAACTGGGGGACACTATGCCCTAAGATGACCTCCACATGGCAAAGTATCAGGCCATAGAACTCACTGCAGAGACTGTGGCAGAAGCAGACCCACAGCTCTTCCCCAGAAGCCCTCAAGAATTTTGTCAGCGACAAAGCCCAAGTTTCCCAAGCACACTGATGCACAGATGCCATGGGCACCAGACTACATGGCTCATCTCAGGTGGGGGCTCGGATGTGCGTGAGTTAAGCTGCTCCAGGGAGGGTGACTGCTTAGGAATCTAAGATCCATCCAGCTGCTTTCTCATTCTGACCAGTCCAGGGGGGTGCTAGCTCCAGGGACAGCAACAGCAGGAGCAACCCAGGGCCTCTGCCACCTCCATGCATCTGTGAGCAGCGTGCTGCTCAGAGACGGAGCAGGGAGAGGTGAAGAGGAGGCAGGCCAGGTCACATGCAGGAGGGCGCCAGGCTCCACCCACCAAGAGAAGGACTGCTTGTTCATGCTCTGGAGGAGGTGGGTGAACAGGGGGTGGGGGGGCAAGCAAAGGAGGCTCCAGGCCACCCCTTCATGGGAAAGCACAATGGTACTGCTGATAGTCAAGGAAACAGACGAGAACATAGCTCCCAAAGGAACCGCAGCTTCCCCGCTCCCAGAGCAAGAGTACCACAACCTCATCTGTTCCTGCTGCCAGGGAGGGGGCTCATGAAGCTACACAGGGAGGGCCCGGGAGAGGCCAGACCTCCAGGCCTCAGGTGTCCACACATCAGGCTGCAACACCCTCTGTCCGCCACCAGGAAGTAGAGAAAGATGTCCACCTTTTATTCGGCTTCTGAGTGACAGGTGGGTGATGGGTTTCTGCTTCCCACCATGCAGCCTGTGAAAACTCACTCAGAGGCAGGATAAGAACCAGCAGGCTGAGCAGAGTCAGAAGCAGGAGGTGGGAAGAAAAACTGTGCAAACATACCTTGGCATGTGGGGACTGCATTTTTTGGTACATCTCCAAGGAATAGTGGTGAAGCCACATTTCAACAAAAACCTGCAAAAAAAGCATTAGCTAGTCAAACCATTCTTGACAACAGTGCCAGACCATTCAGTGGGGAAAGGACAGTGTCTCCAACAAGCAGAGCTGGGAACACAGAATATCCACTTGCACAACAGTGAGGCTGGGCCCTTCCCTCACACCCTCGCCAAAAAATAACTCAAAGTGGGTAAATGACTTGAGGATAGAAACTAAAACCTTCATTCTCAGAAGAAAACATGGGAGAAAGCTTCATAACCCTGGATTTGGCAATGACTAATTAGATATAACACTCAAAGCATAGTAACTAGACTTTATCAAAATCAACACTCTTGAGCATCAAAAGATACTACTGGTAAAGAAAAAAGGCAACCAGCAGGCACGGTGGCTCAGCCCAGTCATCCCAGCGCTTTGGGAGGCTGAGGTGGATAGACCACTTGAGGCCAGAAGTTCAAGACCAGTGAACATCTGTCTCTATAAAAATAGAAAAATTAGCTGGGTATGGTAGGGCACACCTCTAGTCCCAGTTACTTGGGAGTATGAGGTGGGAGGACCGCTTGAGCCCAGGAGTTTGAGGCTGCAGTGAGACGAGATTGCGCCACTGCACTCCAGCCTGGCAACAGAATTAGACCGCTTTGAAGAAAAAGAAAGCGGGGGCTGGGCACAGTGGCTCATGCATGTAATCCCAGCACTTTGGTAGGCTGAGGTGGATGGACCATCTGAGGTTGGGAGTTCGAGACCGGCCTGACCAACATGTAGAAACTACCATCTCTGCTAAAAATACAAAATCAGCCAGGTGTGGTGGCGCATGCCTATAATCGCAGCTTAGCTACTTGGGAGGCTGAGGCAGGATAATCACTTGAAACCAGGAGGCGGAGGTTGCAGTGAGCCAAGAGCATGCCATGGCACTTCAGCCTGAGCAACTCCTCAAAGAAGACGAAACTCCGTCTCAAAAAAAAAGCAACTCAAGTGTCTACTGAGAGCTGAATAAATAAACACAATGTGGTACATCCATACAATGGAACACTCTTCAGCCTTGAAAAGCAAGGAAATTCTGACACATGCTGTAACGTCGATCAATCTTTAGTCCATTATGCTATGTGAAGCACACTAGTCACACACAAATAAGTACTGTGTGCTACAGATAAACACTCTAGGCATGAGATCTAGGAGTCAAATCCATAGGAACAGAAAGCAGAATTGTGGTTGCCAGGGCCTGGGTAGGGAACTGTTAATACGTTTTTTTTTTGTTTGTTTTTTTAATTAAAAGAGATGGAGTCTCACTTTGTTGGCCAGGCTGGTGTTGAACTCCTGGCCTCAACTAATCCTTCCCTGCTTGGCCTCCCAAAGCACTAAGATTACAGGTGTGAGGCCCCTGTGGCCAGGCTGATTTAGTTTCAGTTTTGCAAGATGAAAAGCATTCTGGAGATTAGATGTACAACTATGTGAATGTATTTAACACTACTGACTATACACTTGGAAATGGTTAAGACGGTAAATTTTATGTCATGTATACTTTATAATTAAAATGTTCTTAATTAAAAAAAATAAAAAGGGCCAAGTGCAGGGGCTCACATCTGTCATCCAAGCCCTTTGGGAGGCCGAGGTAAGTGAATCACTTGAGGTCAGGAGTTTGAGACCAGCCTGGCCAACATGGTGAAATCCTGTCTCTGTTAAAAATGCAAAAATTAGCTGAGTGTGGCAGCAGTTGTCTGTAATCCTAGCTACTCAGCAGGCTGAGGCAGGAGAATCACTTAAACCTGAGAGGTGGAGGTTGCAGTGAGCCAAGATTGTGCCACTGCACTCCAGCCTGGGCAACAGAGGGAGATTCCATCTCAAAAAAAAAAAAAAAAAAATTAATGCTTTGATCCAGGAAACAGCAGAACCTTCCAGTTCTGCCCTATAAGCCTGTTTCATGGTCTCCTGCCCTCTTCATGGCCAGCAGAGCCCACAGTCCACACAGCCGAGAGTCCATCTGGGCATCATGGTCCCCTCTGTGAACAGGGGCAATGGTTCTTACCATTCCACCCCCCAAGAATGCTGTGAAATGGCGTGGAGGCTTTCAAAAACTGCAGCACCCCACATACTAGGAATTATATACAAGGTGGGAGATAAAATGCTATCTAATCTACATGACAGGCTGTCAACAGTGAGGCCGTGGCTATCAAGTCCACCCCAGGATCCAGTGTCAGAAGCAGCACCTGCCAAATCTCTCTGAGGTGTGCCGAGAAGACACAGTCCAGGACCTGGGAATTGGCCAGCACTAAGGATGCAAGCCAGCCCATACCATGCTGAGAGGCTGGAGCCTCTCTGGGCAGACAAGGGAATCTGTCAACTACTACTTGGATCCCCTGAATCAATGGGAGGCCTGTGGAGGCTGCACAGACCCCTCACCATTCAGTGTCATACAAATGCTACTGGGGCGGGGCTTAATATCTACATGACGGTAATTGCAGAAAACACCTCCAACCACATGGTAGATGGAAACCAAAAGACTGCAACAATTACATTACCACAGGCAAAATGAAACAACTCCTATGGACAAGGGATCCTGGGATGAAAAACACCATCAATTAAATATAAGTTAGAAGGGTGGGCAGATTTATTTTCATGTTTTCTAAATGTCATAGCAGGGCAATACCAACCATTTAGAATCAGCCCCAGGCTGAGGGGCCATCTCTGGGACTCTGTCCCACATAATGGAAGTGGCTGAACAGTTTCTTTTCTTCTTCTTCTTTTTTTTTAAATTAAGACAGCCTCACCATCTTGGCCAGGCTGGTCTTGACCTCAGGTGATCCACCTGCCTCGGCCTCCCAAAGTGCTGAGATTACAGTCGTGAGCCACCACGCCCAGCCAACAGTTTCTTTTTTTTTTTGAGATACAGTCTAGTTCTGTCACCCAGGATGGCATGTGCACTGGTGCGATCTCAGCTCACTGCAGCCTCTGCCTCCTGGGTTCAAGGTGATTCTCCTTCCTCAGCCTCCAAAGTAGCTGGGACTACAGTCATGCACTACCATGCAGGGCTAGTTTTTGTATTTTTAGTGGAGATGAGGTTTCACCATGTTGGCCAGGCTGGACTCAAACTCCTGACCTTAGGTGATCTGCCCACCTCAGCCTCCCAAAGTGCTGGGATTATAGGCATGAGCCCAGCTGGTTAAACAGTTTCTTTTGACCAGCTCAACTCTCACCTGGAGCAGAGTTTCCCGATCTCCAGATCTCACTGGGAGGCTGGGTCTGCATTCATAGACGTCTGATGAGAGACGTGTCGCTTCAGGAGGCTAGTGTGGTGGAGGCCATAGGAAGCAAAGGGCATGGCTGGTGTCCTGAGGGACAGATAGAAACAGGCCCGAGTTAGGGGGTCCCGCTGGCCTAGCCAGGGCGATCTGGATATCTAAATCAATGACTAGCAGGAACAGATTACAACTTGCTCAATGGCACCAATGCCCACCCCTCACCACCCTCTGATCCACACTAACATACCTGAATAAATAAACAGCAAAGAGAAAAATCTTCCTTACCACAGAGTGACCACTGACCCACTAATCAATGAAGGAGGGATGAAGTTAGACAACCACCATTTGGCAACTGTCCTATTAATAGCTGATTTGGTCAAGAATCAACAGTGAGGTGAGGCATGGGGGTTCGCACCTGTAATCCCAGCACCTTGGGAAACCAAGACAGGAGGATTTCTTGAGGCCAGGCATTTGAGACCAGCCTAAGCAATAAAGTAAGACCCTGTCTCTACAAAAATATTGAAACATAAAATAGCTTGGCATGGTGGCATGTGCCTATAGTCCTAGCTACTTAGAAGGCTAAGGAGGGAGAATGGCCGGGGCCAGGAGTTGAGGCTACAATGACATATGATTCTGCAACTGCACTCCAGCCTGGGGTGACAGAGTGAGACCCTGTTCTCTAAAAGAAATAGGAAATTTCCAGCCATGGCAATATGGTAAAATCCTGTCTCTACAAAAATCAGCCAAGTGTAGTAATGCCTGCTTGTAGTCCTAGATACTTGGGGGGCTGAGATGGGAGGATGACTTGAGCCCAGGAGGTTGAGGCTGCTATGAGCAGAGATTGCACCACTGGAACTCCAGGCTGGGGTGAGAGAACAGACCCTGTCTCAAAATAAAATAAAATCAATTTGAAAAACAGGGAGAATCAACAGTGGATGTTAACACTAGTGGTAATTACATAGTCTTCATACATCTTCCTAGTATATTCTTGTTATCAATCTTTTTTTTTTTTTGAGGACAGAATCTTCTGTTGCCCAGGATGGAGTGCAATGATGCAATCACAGCACAGCAACCTCAACCTCCTAGACTTAGGCCTCCAAGTAGCTGGGACCAACACCACCACGCCTAGATGACTGTTTTTCTTTTTAGCAGAATCAAGGTTGTGCTATGTTGCCCAGGCACTCATTACTACTTTTTATATATATATTTTTTTGAGGTAAGGTCTCACTCTGTAGCCCAGGCTGGAGTACAGTGCATGATCTTGGCTCACTGCCACCTCTGCCTCCTGGGTGGAAGCAATCCTCCCACCTCAGCCTCCCAAGTAGCTGGGATCACATGGTACACACGACCACACCTGGCTAATTTTTAAATTTTCGGGAGAGATGGGGTTTTGTTATGCTGCCAGAGCTCGTCTCACACTCCTGAGCTCCAGTGATCTGCCCACCTAAGCCTCCCAAAGTGCTGGGATTATAGGCATGAGCCACCGCCCTGGCCTCAATACTATTTAGTCTAGGCACAAAGTACTTATTTTACAGTGGAAAGACCTGGCTGACACCTTTTCTGCCCAGTGATAAAGGGCACCTGGCAAGGACCAGGTGTCCCACTGCAGTGGTCCTGCCAACAAAGCCCAAAAGCTGGGCCTAGTCACCAGCAAGTATCAGACAGCTTAAGGGGTAGCCACATGCTTTGGACAGGGTCAAGGTCAGAAAAGACAGAAAGGACCTAAGGGACCATTCCTGACTGAAGGGGGCTAGAAACATCACTGCACACAGTAGGGTGAGCCTGTGCTGGACCTCTGGCCAGCTAATGGGCAAGAGTGGGGTACCTGGTGGTGAACCCCAAGTGGAGTCTGATGACTAGGTGGCAATACTAACTTTCTGGTGTGGTTATAGGCACTGTGACTACATAGGATAATGCATTTCGCTTCTAGGAAATACACTGAAATGTTAAGAGATCGAGGGATGTCATATCCTGTAGCTTACTCATGTTGGCTTAGGGGAAAAAACACATACAATAGACATAGAATAAAACAGATGCAACAAAATGTTAACAATTTGGAAATCTGGGTGAAGGGTCTATGAAGGTTCTTTTTTCTAATGCAGGATCTTGTTCGTTACCCCAGGCTAAAGTGCAGCAGCACACTCACAGCTCATTAAACTCCTAGGCACAGTGATCCTCCCATCTCAAGCCTTCTGAGTAGCTGGGACCATAGCTGCACATCACCACACTTGGCTAATTTTATTTTTTATAGAAATGAGGTCTCCCTATGTTGCCCAAACTGGTCTGGCATTCCTGGCCTCAAGTGACCCTCCTGCCTTGGCCTCCAAAAGTGCTGGGATTACAGATGTAAGCCACCATGCTCAGTCTACAAGTCCTTTTTATTATGCGGGGAAGTTTTTCTATAAGTCTGAAGTTATTTCAAAATAAAAAGTTAGGTGTGGTAGCTTGCACCTGTAATTCCAGCTACATGGGAAGCTGAGGCAGGAAGATTGCTGAGGCTAGGCGTTCAAGAACAGCCTGGGCAACAGAGCAAGGCATCCCCATATCTCTGCCAAAAAAAAAATATTTTTTTAATTAGCTGGCTGTGGTGATGCATGCCTGTAGTCACTGAGATGAGAGGAAGGCCTGAGTGGTGACTGTGCCACCAAGTGATAATTGTGACACTGCAGCCTGTGTGACAGAGTAAGACCGTCTTTAAAAAATATAATGGCTAGGCCAGGCGTGGTGGCTCACACCTGTAATCCCAACACTCTAGGAGGCTGAGGCAGGCAGACCACTTGTGGTCAGGAGTCCGAGACCAGCCTGGCCAACATGGTGAAACCCTGTCTCTACTAAAAATACAAAAATTAGCTGGGCATGGTATAGCTGTAGTCCCAGCGACTCAGGGGGCTGAGCCAGGAAAATCGCTTGAAGCAGAGACAGCACCACTACACTCCAGCCTGGGTGACATTGAAACTCTGTCTCAAAACAAAACAAAACAAAAAATAAACAAAATAAAAAACCCACAATGGCTGAGTGTGGTGGTTCATGCCTGTAATCCCTCCATTTTGGGAAGCTGAGGCAGGAGGATCACTTGAGTCCAGGAGTTCTAGAACAGCCTGGGCAATAAAGCAAGAACCATCTTACAAAAAATAAAAGCTGTGTGTGGGGATGTATGCCTATAGTACCGGATACTTGAGAGGCTGAAGTGGGAGGATCACTTGAGCTCAGGAGGTCAATATTGCAGTGAGCTGTGATCACAATACTGCACTCCAGCCTGAACTCTGTCTAAAAAAACAAAAGGCAATTATATATATTTTTTAAGGGGGGGCAGGAGGGGGAGATAAGAGTCTTATTCTATTGCCCAGGCTGGAGTACTACGGCACAATCTTGGCTCACTGCAACCTCCACGTCTCAGGTTCAAGCAATTCTCCTGCCTCAGCCTCCCCAGTAGCTGGGATTATAGGTGTCCACCACCACGCCCAGCTAATTTTTGTATTTTTGGTAGAGGTGGGGTTTCATCATGTTGGCCAGGCTGGCCTCGAACTCCTGACCTCAGGTGATCCACCCACCTCAGCCTCCCAAAGTGATGGGATTACATGCATGAGCCAATTTGCCTAGCCTATATTATTTCTAAGAGAAAAAAATTAAAAAAAAAAACCCAAAAACCCAAAAAGTTAAAACAAGCAAAAAAGCCAGGCATAAAAAAATCACTGTGCAGCTGAATTCTGCATCTGACAAGGTGGGAATCCGCTTCACCTCCAACTCCTCCACAGGATCAGCAACATTTCAGGGTCACTGATCACTGTCACCACCTGGGCAGCCTCTCCTCCCTGCCGATCCCTTTTTCCCCTCCACTCTCTGGGGCATCTGTCCACACATGTGAATTGTAGGCAGAGGCCTGGCCTGGCCTGGCTTGCACATGCCAGCAGATCTGGGGTAGGCCAGCATCTGCAGGAAGGGGCCTGCAATGCAGTCTCCTGGGAAGGTGATGGGCCAGCGAGATTAAGGAGGGTAAGAGGAGCACAGGCAGCTGCTGCTGGGACAAGAGGGTCTCCTGGGAAGTCAGCCAAGAGGGCCTGAGTTAGGGCCCACTGAGGCCCCAGCACAGCTAGGCATCAAAGCCCCTCGTTCATACTCCCCACCTGTGCAATCCAGAATCAGACTCAGCCTGTTTGGATGGCACAACAGGCTCTTTGGCCCAGGGCCTCCCCCTCAAAACCTGCTCCTGGGTCCCACAGAGAATTCCATCTTTTTGGCTCATAGGATAACCTTTCCACCCTGCTCGTTGCCTCAGCCACCACCTGAGGGGAGTGCTGCTCGATGCAGAGCACAGCCCATTCCCATGCAGGCCATGGAGGCCTCCAGAGACCTAACAGCTTCAGTGATGGCCACAGACACCTAAAACTAAAGGACAGATCACCCTTCACATCCCCACCCTCCAGTCTGTGCTAAGATAGCTGGGAATGGGAAATGAGGCATAAGAAAAATTGGGGCACCCTGGACAAAGGATAGCACCACTGTCCCTGTGAACAGTGCAACTGACTGGGCCACTCCCTTATGGAAGGGCCAGGTCTTAACAAAGGGTAGCCTTACCTGGGAGGTGGTGAGGGGCTGGCGCCCCCTGGGCTGGAGGAGAGTGGTGGGGGCACACTGCCTTCGGTGGGCAGGAACCATGACAGGTACCTGTCCACCAGGATGAAATAGGCACAGTCTGAAGTACGGACGTGGAGGGACACAGGTAGTGGCTGGAAAACCAAGCTAGTTGTTAGCAAAGGCTCTGGACACTGCCTGGCGGCCGAGCACTGGCAAGTGCAGGAAGTCTTGGGCCGTGACCCCGCCCCTCCCAGAAAGAGACATCCCTTCCCTACCTTCTGAGTGATGAGGCTCAAGGCAAAGAAGAATATGTAATACTCGAACGGATCTGATGGCAGCGTCAGGGGCAAACATGCAGGGTTGCTGAGCCACCCCCCCAGTGTCGAGTGCTGGGCCACCCACAGCCTCCCTACCTCAGGGCCACCAAAGGATACTCAGGGCCAGGTTCAGGCCAAGGCCCCCAGCAGGGGTGAACTGGACTTTGTTGTGGTACAGAGGACTGTCAGGGAGGACACACTCCTGGATGGATGCCTTCACAGGACCCTGCAGAGAGAGGCAGTGGGGCTTGTGGGCAGGCGCTGGTGTGTAATGCCTGATATGTGGTGCCCCACATGCACAGCAGTCCTTCGGGAAGGCTGCTGGAGAAGAGACCTGCATACAGAACCCACCTGTGGGGATAGTGCCCTGCCTCTGAGAAGTGCCTGAACAAGAGTCTTTGCTTAAAACTTCTCCTACCATCTCATAAAAAGCTTCAGATGACAAAGGTAGCGGGCATGCAATACCCATCTCCTTTGCGTCTTATCCTGAAGCAACTCACTCCTCAATTTGCCCTCAGAGGACTGGAGGAGACTACCCATCGCCACAGGGCTGTGCAAGACCCACTGCCCTGAGCACCACTCTCGCCTCTGTTTTACTTACAGGCAGGTAGGAGACTGGAAAGTCAAACTTATAGTCTTCAGCTTGAAGCTTATAAACCAACTTCATCATTGGGCCACTGAAGATGAAATTGAACAAACAAACAAAAACAGGGCAAATGAACTGCAAATTATCTTGCTTTGATTGTTTCTTAACGTTAAGAAATTGAGAGAGTGACTTAAAAGTGGAATCACCATGAGGAAGCACCCAGCCTCTCTCAGGCGACAAACCTACCTACCCAGGGTCAAGAAATTCCATCGCGATGCTGTACTCCACAGGACTCACACGCCCCTGTAAGCAGCGGAGGTTCCAGCCAATGAGGACACCATCTAAGCTGCCAAAAATGTTCTCTACCAGCCATGGGAAGATGGTGTGCAGCTCCTGAAACAGTGCGGAAAAGCTGTGGGCAGGACCAGTGCCCATTCCTGCTCCTGCTCCAGCTCCAGCTCCTGTCATGCACCACTTGCTACCCAGCTCCCTCTGAGAAGGCCACTCCCTGGCTGAGACTCAGGGGATCAGCCCTGTACCCAAAGGAACCCTGGTGCCATGGTGCCAACAAGAAGAGCAGCTTTGGGTTCTTCCAGTGGGATGCATGGTATAAGTCGGCCTCCAATCAAAATACATCTTTTGTGTGTGATAGAAGACTAAATTTAAAAAAAAAAAAATTAAACAATGAAGAAAGTAAAAAAAAGCATGTTTTTTTGCAACAGAGTCTCACTCTGTTGCCCTGGCTGGAGTGCAGTGGTGCAATCAGGGCTCACTTCAGCCTTGACCTCCTGGGCTCAAGCAATGCTCCCACCTCAGCCTTCCAAGTACCTGAGACAATGGGCACACACCACCATGCTCAGCTAATTTTTAAATTTCTTGTACAGACAGGGTCTCAGTATGTTGCCTAGAGTGGTCTCGAGATCCTGGGCTTAAGTGATCCTCCCACCTTGGCATCCCAAAGAGTTGGGATTACAGGCATGAGCCACCACATCAAAAGATTCTTTAAAACAATGTTGCAAACTTCTGACTTGAACGATGTTCCATCAGAAAGGAAAGCAACATCCTTCCCAGAGTGAAGACCCTGAAACGTAGCCGACCTGTTGCCATTTGCTATTAACTCCTTGTCTAGGCCCACTACCTGGGCTTGACAATTCCAGAAGTGATTTAAATACATATTTTTAGCATTCTCAACCTTGGTGCTATTGCCATTTTGGGCTGGATACTTTGTTGTAGGGAGCTATCCTGTGCTTTGCAGGATGTTTCCAGCATTCCTGACCTCTACTTCCCAGATGCCAGTAGCATACACTCCCGATCCACCCCCAGATGTGACAACCAAAAATGTCTCTGACATTGCCAAATGTCCCCTGAGGGACAGTGCACCTGCGGTTGAGAACCCCTGATCTACAAGTTCAGATGTTTAAATGTGTCCATAAACATAATGGTCACAATAATGCCTCTGTGCCAGGCAGTGATCAGGGTCGGGTGGCAGGGGTTGGGGGGGTTGGGAGGGGTGGAGAAATAGGAATTACAGTAAAGTTCTTCAAGGAATGTATAAGACATGCTGCAAAAAGAGACATTAGCAAAGCTATACCTTTGCTGGAAAATCCTCAATGACTTTAACCAAGTCTTGGCACCGCTGTGGAAAGGGCTTATTTATAGAATCAGCTTTCAGGCTAGCCTAGAAGACAGAACAAAGCAAAAAAATCATGAGGGCATTCACTATGCAGCTTTTATTGATACTCTGTATTGAGTCAAACAGAAATCCAAGCAATAGGTTATGAGTTAGGCACATAACCACTGGCCTCATTCCCCAGCCCCTCACGTGTGTCAGTGGCCCAAAGAATGCTACTAGGAGAAGCTGTGGTTCTGTGCTCTCTGGACCAGGAACTCTCAGGCTTGCTTCCCAGTACCCCCTCAGAGTGCTGCACATCATCAGAACAGGACTGACTTACACTGACCGTTAAGTAGGGATTGGCCCCAGGGTCAGCCCCAAAACCAGAAGAGGATCTCAACTGTGTACGGGCAACTGTTATAGACCACAGAATGCCGCTGTGTCTGTATGCATCAAATGGAAATTTCCCGCCTGATGGACCACAGTGATTACACTGTTGTGACCATCAGTAAGAATGTCCAACAACATCAGGGCTATGGCAGAAGCTCTTAAACAAGCTGTGCTTTATTCAGTAAACAGTGAACCTACTAAACGACTGACCTTAAAACACGGGGCAGGCAAATAATAGACAGCTTCAGCCAAGTAGACACTAATCACAAAGGCAAAGGAGGGGCCAGAAAAGACTCAGGACAAGGACTAATGAGATCTACCCACAGTCACGGGATGTGAGGAAAGCCCCCTGATGACAAGGAGAAAAGGGGCGTCTGTGCAAATGGATTAAGATCAGGAGAAACTGCTAGAATTTCAATGTAGAGAGCTTTGCCAAAGGATGTCTAAGGCCTTGTCTACCCCCATATGAGGGTGGATTTCACAGTGCTTGAGACAGAGATGGAGACTTAAGCTGTCTGGCCATGGGCCAGGCCTGTTGGCTTCAGTGGGATGTACTAAGGAAGAATGTCCTTCCACATAAATGTTCACAAAAACACCTCCTAAGAACTAATATTAGGAACTTCCATCACCAATACTTACCTCATACCTAACTTCAAACTTCTCGGTAACTTTTCAGTATCATTTTTTCTTCCTTTTGAGTCTTTACTATGTTGCCCAGACTGGTCTCAAACTCCTGGGCTCAAGTAATCCTCCGACCTCAGTCTCCTCAGTAGCTGAAACTCCAGGCATAAGCCATTGCACCCAATTCTCAGCAACATGTTTAATACTTAAAGTGCAAACCTAGCAGCCCCCAGCACAACTGTCTCTACTTTTCACTGATGACAGTTATGATCATTAGAATGCTTCGTATCTATTCAAGAATGTACAGGTGATGAACAGTCTGATATACATCCTTCTCACTTGCTGCTCTTCCTCCTCAAACCCTTGGGAAGTTGAAAAAATAGCATTTGAATAAACTTGTCTTGAGACTGAACTCCAAGGGTTCTTTAGTATTAAGGAGGCACAGTCAAGCTTAAGTTGTCTGGCATTGTTGACATCACATGCCCCTGAAAAACAACCACTACAGAGCTCTTCAAATCAGTGGGAAGAACACTCAAGTCCCACAGCTACAGAACTATGGCCACACTGACACTCATGCAGGTGGCTGATATTTACCAGTAGAAAGCTGGGCTGCTGCAGGTGAGGGAATGCCATAGCAGCCTCCAGTGAAGAGTCGAAAATGGCCTTCTTAGCAAACCACTGTGGAAAAACAAAGATGAAATCTCAACATCTGCAACACAGAAGATTCTTTCCATTTTATTTTTTTACAGACAGGGTCTCATTTTGTTGCCCAAGCACAATGCAGCAGCACAATCACAGCTTACTGCAATCTCAAACTCCTGAGTTCAAGCAATCCTCCCACCTCAGCCTCCTGAGTAGCTGGGACTACAGGTACGCACCACCACAATTAGCCTGGCTAATTTCCTTTTTTGTTTTTTGTCGAGACAGGGTCCAGCTATGTTGTCCAGGCTAGTTTCAAGTCCTAGCCTCCACGGATCCTCCTGTGTTGACCTCTTAAATGTTGAGGTTACAGGTATGAGCCACTGCACCTGGCCCTAACAAAATATTACATAGTTTCACAATGCACGAGAACATCCGTGTAACATGAGACACATTACATTACCAATTCTCATGTTTTTCTTATTGATTTATTTATTTGAGACAGGGTCTTGCTTTGTTGCTCAGGCTGGAGTGCAGTGGTGTGATCACAGCCCACTGCAACCTCAAACTCCTGAGCTCAAGTGATCTTCCTGCATCAGCCTCCCAAGTAGCTAGGACTACAGGCACACACCTCCAAACCCAGATACTTTTTGTATTTTCTGTAAAGATGGGGTTTCATCATGTTGCTCAGACTGCTCTTGAACTCCCGGACTCAGGCCATCTATACGCCTCAGCCTCCCAAAGTGCTGGGATTACAAGTGTGAGCCACCACACCCAGCCAGCACTGCTGATGTTTTATAGAAACACTATTCTTGGCCAGGCGCAGTGACTCATGCCTGTAATCCTAGCACTTTAGGAAGCCCAGGCAGGCGGATCACCTGAGGTCAGGAGTTCAAGACCACCCTGGTCAACATGGTGAATCCCCGTCTCTACTAACATACAAAAATTAGCCAGGCACGATGGCGGGTACCTATAATCCCAGCTGTTTGGGAGGCTGAGACAGGAGAATCGCTTGAACCCAGAAGACAGTGGTTGCAGTGAGCCAAGATCGCATTACTACACTCCAGCCTGGGTGGCTGAAGGCAGACTCCATCTAAAAAAGAAAAAAAAAAGAAAAAAAAATTGATCATCGATACTTTGAATGCACTTGCAGCCCCAGGTTCCTCCCGGGGCTATGCTTAAAAAAAAAAAAGAAACACTGTTCTCATGCAGCCCACAGTGGCCAACTTCAGAGCCAAGTTTGTGGTACTAAATCCTTGGCAATGCTTATACAGCATTTGTTACACACCAGGACTCGCTCTAAAGGCTCTCTGTATATCTCCTCATTTAATCCTTAGTGGTAGGCAAAATTCTAAAGATAGCCCCAAGATTCCTGACCCCTGGCTGTTCAATCAAATACTCATCTAGGTACTGCTATGACAGCATTCTGCAGATACAATTAGAGTCCTAGTTAGTGTATCATAAGTTAGAGAGTAGTCCCCAGCTGATAGCCAGCAAGAAAACCGAGACCTCAGTTCTACAACTCCAAGGAACTGGATTCTGCCCTCAACCTAAATAAACCTGGAAGCAGCTTCTTTGCTCCAGATAACAGCAAAGCTGCCAACACCTTGAATTTAGTCTTGTGATACACAGCTGAGCCTGCCTGGACTTATGCATACATAACTATGAGATAATAAACCAGTGTTGGTTTAAGCTGCTAAGTTTGTCATATAAAAATAGAAAAAACATCTTCACAACAACCCTATGGGTACAGATGTACTATGAGTGCATGTCTGTAAAGACGAGGAAAGAGAGGCAGAAATGGGAAAAGTCACTTACTGTCCCACCCAGCTAGTAAGTGGCAGAACCAAGATTCCAATACAAAGACGGCCTCACGAAACTCTCTGAGACAGGGCAAAATCCCTGCATATTACCTTTGCACTATGCAATGAATGGAGGAGAAGAGCAAGCTCTGCCAAGGGAGCCTTTGAATAGTCATCAGAAAACTAGGATCAAAGGCCAGTGGCGGTGGCTCACGCCTGTAACCCCAGCACTTTAGAAGGTGCTAGCAGGTGGATCACTTGAGGCCAGGAGTTCAAGACCAGCCTGGTTAACATGGCAAATCCCCATCTCTACTAAAAATACAAAAAGTATCCAGGTCTGGTGGCAGATGCCTGTAGTCCCAGTGACTCGGGAAGCTGAGGCACAAGAAACGCTGATCCCAGGAGGCGGAAGTTGCAGTGAGCCAAGATCACACCATTGCACTTTAGCCGGGGTGACAGAGGGAAACTCTCTCAAAAAAATGAAAACAAAACAAAACAAAACAAAAAACTAGGATTAGCATTCCAGATTCCTACCTCTCCGCCCACCCAGATCAGAAATGAAAAATGCTCGGACCTAGACTTCGCAGAGGAAGTCTGCCAAGTCCCACTGGTGAGCTACGTACAGTTTTCATGGCCCAGCTCTGCCTACTGCACAAGTAAATGCACTGGGGTGGCACCAGGCAGTCTGTGGAGGGGAAGAGGCTGGGTTTAAGAAGGCTGTGTAGGCAGTTGTAGTGTGAGAGGAAACAGGAATCTCTGCCACTTGGCAATAGGAACATCTCCCAAGTTTTTTATTTATTTTTTGAGACAGTCTCACTCCTTCATCTCATTGCAACCTCCACCTCCAAAGTTCAAACAATTTTCGTGGCTCAGCCTCCTGAGTACCTAGGACTACAGGTGCCTGCCACCACGGCGGGCTAATTTTCCTATTTTTAGTAGAGGCAGGTTTCCCTATGGTGGCCAGGTTGGTCTCAAATTCCTGGCCTCAAGTGATCCGCCACCTAGGCCTCCCAAAGTATAGACTTTTTCAATTCTTAACCAAGCCATCAATTTCAGTGTTAAAGAAAATTTAAATGCCTGAGTCCTAAGACAATTGGTCAAGAAAACACCGTGCACTACTCCAAAATGATCAGAGTAGCATAAAACCGTGGACTGTTGGACAAACACAGAGTTTTAGAGGTGATGACGTGAAAGCATCTCTGCTCAGAAGCTTTCATGGGCAGCAACTGAAAGAGTGAGGCCCAGAGGAATTTCCGAGAGGAAATTCAAACCCGGGAATTCCAAGAGGTGTCTCGAACGCTCTGGTTCTGATTCTGCCACGGTCCCCCTCGCCCATCAAGGTCTTTGAGTGCCCTGCACTTAGCGTCCGCTTCATCTCGCCTCTTCAACACCTATTTTCTCCAAGAGCTGCTTCGGACCCCGTTTGGTTTTTTTTCTGAGTGTGACAGCCCTTAGGCAACGCCAATCGCTCCAAGCAAATTCTGTCACTGCCAAGACCTCCCTCAGCAGCATGACCCCGCTTGTTGTGCCCAACTCTCCTGCCAATTGGGCATCGGGACCCTATTACAGCTGAGGAAACCCAGGCTCGGAGATGTCGAGGACACAGTAAGGGTCGAGCAGAGACCCACATCCGGCTCTTCCCCCCACACCGCCTGTTGAGACCAAGGCTCAACTTCAACACAAAGCTCTCCTTCCCTCAATTCCTTTAACGAACTAACGTTCGTTAGTTCAACGAGCAGTGTCTCTCGTACACTACCGAGACAGAGTGTACGAGCCGCGCTATAAGGTGGCGCAAAGGCATGGCCCAGGAGGGTAGCAGGAAGACTCAGCCGGGGCCCTCGCCTCCCCAGCCCGCCCGGCCTGGGCAGAGCAGCCGGGGCCGGCCTGAGTCCTGGGGCTCGCGAAGGAACGGAGACGGCCTCCCCAGGGACTCGGGGAAGCCGCCGGGGCGCGGGACCATTTCACGCGCGCCTCCCGCGCCACTCACCTGTGGGACCCACAGCATTGCCCGACTCAGCTGGAAGCCGCCATTCCGCCACGGCGCCGAAATGTCGTCATCAAGCTGCGCACAGGAGCCACGCCCCGCGGCCAGGCGGGAAAAGCGTCTCTACCACGTTGGGCAGCTACCTCAAAAGGCGCCTGCGCAAAGTGAAGGCCGGCCGGGCGTGAGAGGAAGCAGGGAGGGAGGAGTGTGGGGAAGTGCGCCTGCGTAGTGGCGGCCTCCTGCCTCGCGGTTAGGCTCTCGCACAGCAAGAAGAGCGCATGCGCATAAGCATGGTGGTTGATTAGGGCCCCACCCGAGGAGCGTTCCCTAGTGGGGCACCTGCGCGGACCAGAAAATTGCAGGCTTTCTTGTACCAGGCATTACTGAGCGCCCAGTGTATGCCTGGCATTGGGCTGGGTGCTGCCATCTAAGTGAGCACGACCAATGCAGTCTATCAGGGAGGCCCTGACCGCCAAACTCTGGGCCCTTGCGGTCCATCATGCCACCCTCGACACCTGGCACGCTGCCCAGCACACCGTTGGCGCCCAATAACTGTTGTGCTCGAATGACGGCCGCGGAGGTCCGGCGCTGGCGCTACAGGGAGAGGGTGGCGGGCGCCGCCTCTAGGGGACGCGACGCAGGAGCTGCGAGGCTGGGCCCACCTCCCCGCGGGCGATGCGGATGGCGGCGCAAGGTGCAGGGCCAGGGCCCGGGTCGGCGGCGTCCCCGGGGCTGGAGGTGTCCCGGCAGAAGCTGGCGCTGCGGCGGAAAAAGGTGCTGAGCGCCGAGGAGATGGAGCTTTACGAACTGGCGCAGGCAGCGGGCGGCGCTATCGACCCCGATGTGTTCAAGTGAGCGGGCGGGGTGGGGGTCGCACGCTCGCCCATCACCCTGACCTCTGCTCTGGAGATCCGCCGGGCCCGCTGGTCGGGAGGAACCCCCAGTCCTTGTCGGGTATTCAGGGAGGGCTCACCGGCCCTGCGTTTGTCCCCGCCAGGATCCTGGTAGACCTACTGAAGCTGAACGTGGCCCCCCTCGCCGTCTTCCAGATGCTCAAGTCCATGTGTGCCGGGCAGAGGCTGGCGAGCGAGCCCCAGGACCCTGCGGCCCTGTCTCTGCCCACGTCGAGCGTGCCCGAGACCCGAGGTCAGAGCCGGGCCTGCTGTCCCTGCCCCGGTGGCGGTGGCGGCAGGCGGGGATGGGGCAGGCGCGGCACAGCAGCGAGCGGTGTGGCCCTGTGTGGCCAGGCCTGTTTGTGGGGTCTTGACCCAGCACCTGCAGGGCCTATCCGTGGGCTCTGCTCCGGGGCCTTGCTGCTAGCCTTAGCAGGCATGTCTAGGTCAGGTGGACACAGAGTACATGCCCCAGGCTGGTCCAGGCGGGCTAGGGCTCCTCCTCTCAGCTCCCTCCCCACCTCTTCTCTCAGGCCTTCATCCCACAAAGTCGGGAATCAAGACAGTTTGGGGCTGGGCACTGTGGTTCCCGCCTATAATCCCAGCCACAACGGGAGGATCGTTAGAAGTCATGAGTTTGAGACCAGTCTGGGTGACAGGGTGAGATCCTATCTCTAAATATGTTTTTCAATAGACAGTCTCAGTTCCTGTCCTGTGGCATTAAAGCTTCCAGGGAAGTACCCAAGGAGCAGGGCAGGCAGAGGTCTTCCTGCCACCTCCTGCCTGTACCCTTCTTGGGCCCAGTTCTTATGCAGGGACTTGGACAGCCTGGCCAGCTTCCCTCTGAGGATTGCAGGAAGGGAGTCAGACACAGAACTCCCAGGGTGCAGAGGCCTGCAGGGCCTCCTCCCTCTTCAGCGTGGTGACTGGGCTGAGCAGAATGCTGGGGCTGAAAGTGTCATGGTGGAGCCTCAGCCCCTGCTCATCCCCCCTGCATGTTGCTTCTGCTTCTGACAGCTCTCTGAAATTCAGCAGAACCTCCCAGGCCAATGAAAGGAGGCCCAGAGCTGGCTCCCTGCCTGGAAGCATGAGGACACCGCACAGGCATCCTGAGAAGGGGTGGAGAGCAGGCTGCCTTCATGGGGGTGTGCCCCAGGGCCTGGGCTCCCAGGCCTCCTGTCCTGAGAGGCCCCGGGCACCTGCGTGCTGGCTTCCTCACTGACCCGTGCTCTGTCTGCTCTCTTTGTGTCTCTCTCTGACCTCCAGAGGCCTCCTTTCTCTCTGCCAGGAACAGTAGCCCCCCTGGGAGGCCCTCCTTTTCCTCTGGCCTGCAGCCTGCAGCCTCTCCCGGTCTGCTCCACAGCCTGGCTGCAACATATTCGCCTCTCTCTCCAGGCCCCCGGGTTCCCTCTGCCTCTCTTGCTGCCTGTTCTCTCCTTTTGCAGGTTGCGTTTATTGGCTTATCTCAGGGGAGTTGGTGCTCTCCCTTGTTTCCATGGAAACTGCCTGGGGCCAAGAGGCAGCTTTGAGCCGCAAGGGCAGGACCAGGCAGGCCACCGCTGCCCTGCCGCTAAGCAACAGGGCACAGTTTCTGGTTTGGTTTATTAGTGACATGGTGTGGCAGTCTCTAGACCCCACAGTGTGTGACAAACACCTCAGCCTCTTGGAATCTGTCCCCTACCCGGACAGGAAGTCTGGGAGCTGAAACAGGGGCTCCCACCTTCCCCCAGTCCCCTGGGCAGCACCACATAGATGTCATGTGCTGGTCCCACAGCCACACTCTAGCACTCAGCCCCCTTGCCCATCTCACTCCTGAGTTGGGGCCACTTCCCAGGCGTCACCAGATGTGATGAGGCTAGGGGCCCATAGCCAGGAGCCTATGAGAGCCCAGGGGTCTCCAATTGCACCTCCTGCATGCACCTCCCCACAGCGCCCACCTCCCTGCCACCCCGAGCTCAGGCCCAAGGGAGGATGGGGAGGGGCTGATGAACAAGCTGGAGTAGGAGTGCACGGACTGCAGGCTGAGATGAGCAATTGAGGGACAAGTTTCCAGCAGGAGGGAGAAACTGGGAACAGAGGCCTTGTCACTCCAGGGGATGTTGCTGCTCACTCAGGGGCTCTGGGTGCCAGGCCCAGCTCTCAGTGCAGAAGGCGTGGCAGGGAAGTGAGATGGTCACACTCAGTCCAGTGAGAGGCAGTGAGGAAAATCGTTAGCAAGGCCGGTGTGTTGGCTCACACCAGCACTTTGGAAAGTCAGGGCGGGTAGATCCCTTGAGCTCAGGAGTTCAGGACCAACCTGGATAACATAGCAAGACCATTCTTTACAAAACACACAAAAACTCGCCAGGCAGGTGTGGTGGTGTCTGTCTATATTCCCAGCTACTTGGGAGGCTGAGGTGGGAAGATGGCCTGGGCCTAAGGGGATTGCTGCAGTGAGCCGAGATCAGGCGACTGCACTCCAGCCTGGGTAACAGAGCAAGATCCTGTCTCAAAAAAAAAAGAAAAAGAAAAACCGCCAGGAGATAGGAGGAGGCTTCAGAGCCCAGAGAGCAGCACAGGTTACACGGGGCAGGGCAGGAGGGGTCGACAGGGCCCCACACGTGTGAGCTGGGTGGTGGGAGGGGCTGGCGAGGCAGAGTGCTATCCAGACAGGCCCGGGGTGGGAGGAAGGAGGTGGAGGGACACAATCAAGATGTATGTGGGGGTTGTGGCACTGGGATGCAGGCAGAGAGGGGCCAGGAGATCAGGGGGTACCATGTGAGCAAATGGGGGCTCCGAGAGAAGTGGGAAGAAGCCCCTAGCACAGGGACAGGAGTGGCCTAGAGTACTGGGCCCCTCAGGGTCGTTTGTTTCTCGAGGCTCTGTCCTGGAAGCATAGCCCAGGCCCGGCCCTGTAGGCTGGGCAGCAGAAGGCCAGGACATGAGGGCACAGAGGCCCCATGGGGATGCAGGTGGAGGGGACATGGGGCAGACATGGCGCCACACCAGGAGTGTGCTGCTGAGTGAGAGGCAGAGGCCACAGATGGAATTGTGAGAGCTCTGAGGCCCGCATCTTATAGCATCTGACCACATGGAGCTCCGGCTGCCCCAGTAATGGCAGAATCTGGGACAGAGGACATAAGGGAGTTTGTGGGAGTGATCCGGCTAGGGGGCATGGAGGCCATAGATTTCCCTCAGGACTCGGGTGTGGAGTTCTCCAGGCTGCGGGCCAGGCCCATGGGAGCCTGCCTCTGTGAGCTGCAGCAGGTGCCCCAGGTCCTCTGGATGCTTGTCCACCAGCTGTCCAGATGGCCTGCAGGGACCACCATCACCAAGCTCACTCATACCCACAGGGAAAGGGAAACAGAAAACCAGAAGCACAGAGGAGCAGTGCTTGTCGTGGGGAGGGTCTGGAGTCATTGAGGGAAAAATAAATTGAGTCCAGCATTTTGTTTTAAGTTTAGGGAAACTATACATTTGAAGAGTTGTCCAGAGTATATCAGTTGATGTTTGGAGTGTGGAAGCCGTGAGTCCTACCTGAGCTGTGCTGCCTGACACAGGAACCACGAGCCACGCATGGCTGGCATGGCCATTGCACTGCATGTGTTATGCACAGCAGATATCAAAAGACAGAAGGGAGTGCAAAAAACCCACTGCACTTTGGGAGGCCGAGGCTGGTGGATCTGTTGAGTACAGCAGTTCAAGACTAGCCAGGGCAACACAGTGAGACCCAGTCTCTACAAAAAAATACAAAAATTAGCAGGGCACGGTGGCACACATCTGTAGTTCCAGCTACTTGGGAGGCTGAGGTGGGAGGATTGTTTGAGCCTGGGAGGTCGAAGTTGCAGTGAGTGCACTACTGCACTCCAGCCTGAGTGACAGAGTGAGACTGTGTCTCAAAACAACTCCAATGTGAATGAGGTTGGGCATTGTGGCTCATACCTGTAACCCCAGCACTTTGGGAGGCTGAGGCAGGAGGATCATTTGAGACAAGGCTGGGCAACATAGCAAGACCCCATCTCTACAAACAAACAGACAAACCAAAAAAAGAACAAAGACTAATGCAACGTCTTATGAATAACTTATGTACTGATTACATCCTGAAATAATACATTGGATATTTTAGATTAAAGTACTTAAGCTTATTATTATTTTTTTTTTTTTGGAAACAGAGTCTGTGTCACCCAGGCTTGAGTCCAGTGGCACACTCATAGCTGACTGCAGCCTCAAACCCTTGGTCTCAGGCGATCCTCCCACCTCCTCTTGAGTAGCTGGAACTACAGGTGCACACTACCACACCTGGCTAATTTTTAAATTTTTTGTAGAGATGGAGGACTCACTATGTTGTCCAAGCTGCTCTCGAGCTCCTGACCTCAAAAGATCCTTCCACCTTGGTCTCCCAAAGTATTAGAATTACAGGCATGAGCCACTGTCCCCTGCTGAGTCAGGCTGTTTTTAATATTCAGTGGTCGTTGACTACTTTTGGCACTTAGGAAGGCCCTGCAGGGACCAGGCCCAGGGGCATCAGTCACCCCACCCTCACACCCCAACCTCCAGCCGCACTTGGTTCAACTCCACTGCCTAGCCCATCTGACTCAGCCCCTCCCAAGGGAGCAGGGCTAAGCAAAGCTGGTTTTCCCACTGCAAGGTGCTGCAGGCCATTCTCCTTTGGCCCTTCTCGTCCTTCATAAAGTAAAGAGGCCTGAACAGGATTCCCCACTCACCCTGAGAGCACGTAATTCGTGAAGATTTCCAGGATTTTCTTACCATCAGGTATGGCTTAAAGTTATGTTGGTTTCATATTTCCAGGGCTTGTCAACCCTGTCAGATTGAAAGATAAAAATTATTAGCCAGTTGTGTCCCGGTGCTTGTAGTCCCAGCTACTCTGGAGGCTGAGGCAGAAGGATCCCTTGAGGCCATGAGTTTGAGACAGCAACGAACTGTGATTGCATCACAGCACTTTAGCCCAGGTGACAGAGCAAGAGTCACTCTCTAAACGCCCCCACCCAACACACACACAAATCATATGATTATTTGTTCTTTTCTACTTCCCTCTCATCCTTGTTTCCAGAAGGGACTGGGTCAGTACTGAGGGGAGGAGAGGAAGCTCAGATGGTGCAGACTGAAGGGAAGCTGGCTCTGAGTCAGGCCCAGGTCTGGGGCCTGCTGTGTTGCGTGCTGTGGGGAGCAGGGCATTAGTTACCCTGAGAGCGCATGGGCTCCTGAGCACCCGGGTTAGGACATGGCTACAGAAGATCTGACTCTGTCAGGTCTGGCCCGTGGAGGGTCTGTGGGCTCAGAGGAGGATGCTGGCCCAGTATGGGAGCTGCTGCAGGGTGGCAGGGCCCGTTTGCTCATAGAAGACAGAATCCTCACCCCAACCAATCAGTGGGGACTAGAATAATCAGTTTGTACCGAAGGAGACACGTGGTGACCGAACGTTCTCTGCTTTGTGCCTTTTTCACAAGCCACTGCTGGGCTGTGGTGGCCAAACATCACCCAACACATGTTCCTGGCTGTGCCCCTCCTTGGCTCAGGGCAGCCCTGACTCCATCGTTGTTGAGTCAAGTGTGCCAAGCTGACAGAGTTCCAAGTGTGACACTGCTGTAACCCTCACCACCCACCAGGCAGGAATGAGCACAGCTCTCATTCTCTGAGGAAGAACTCCAAAACTCATAAGGAGGGCTGCCCTATCCCTGCAGGGCATGGGGAGACTTCATGGTATTAGCATGGAAAGGGAGCTGGAGGTGCCTCTGGAAGAGCCAGGGTCCACCACGTCTCAGACACAGGAGTCTTCACTTGTTCAAAGTGACAAATGGTGAAACAGAAATGACCTAAAGGATCCCTAGACACCCGGTTGCATCTTTTCTCCTAGAACGCAGTTTCCCATTGCAGGCTGTTTGCATTTGATAAGAGGCCAGGGAAGGACCAGGATTGAGGTTAGGTGTTCTGATAGCTGGACCTTTGTCTGGAGTCACCCTAAAACTGGTGGCAGGGGAGTTCTCACAACGGACTGCCCCAAACCTCCCCAGGATTGAGCTAGCTAATGCCAGGGTGATTAGTCCAAAGATTTTGTTAGGGAACTTACATATGGAGGGGGCTGCAGTGTGGCCTCATGAGGCACAGCCAGGAAAGAGGTTCTGCCTAGGCACAGCTGCAGTGTGGAGTTAGGAGTTTGGCCCCGGTGGGGCCAGTTTCCACATGCTTAGCAACATGTCAGATCTTTCAGTGTTTCACACAACAACCTAAACATGTTTATCAGTGTCTGGGAAGAACAAACCCCAGCCAGGGTTTGAGCCTGCACGGGGAACATGTAGCTGATTGGGTCAGCGTGGTCGAGGCACTCGGTCAGAAAAAAGGAAAAGCTGGGGGGATGAAATGGGTGACCCAACACTGTGAGTCGGGCAGGGGACACATGCCCTGGTTAGAGCCCACGGGGCAGACCCTGCCAGGCCGGAGCAGGGGAGAGTCCTGGCCAAGGCACTCCACATAGGGGGCTGTGACCCCACAGGCAAGCCTAATACCCAGGCCCGTTTGTCCCCTAGAGGGTCCTCTCAGTCAGTCTTGCTGATGCCGTCAACACCCTGAGTCCAGGGAAGTCCATCCCATTAAAATAAAGCTCTGGCCCAAGTGTGGTTGCAGATCTTTCTGGGCTATCTTCACGAAAAAGAGTAAAGTGAGCAAATTACAAATCAATGAAACTGAACCAGTGGTCTTCATCCGAGTGAGACTGGTGGTCAGAAGGAAAGTCTCAAAGCACTCAGACTGCGGCAGTAACCCTGTCATAGAATCTGGCAGCTAAACCCGAGAGCAAGAGGTTTGACCACTATTTGCAGAACACTTGGGTAGGAAGGTAACAATGTAAGAGCTTACAAAATGAAAATCAGCAACCTGATTCTAGGACTTGGTGACTGGAATACTTTCTGCCTGTCACTGCCTAGGGCAGCTCAGATGTATGGTCCAGTGTGAACACACCTGCTGCTGCACCTGCTGCTGCTGCTGCTGCTGCTGCTGCTGCTGCTGCTGCTGCTGGCACCATCAGGGCAGACCAGGTTTGCTGCCCAGGCCAGGTGTGGACCAGATGCACCTACCTTTCCCTAGATGGACCTGTGGCGTGTCCTTTCAAAACGTTCCCTTGGCAGTTTGCTCCTTGCATGGATTCTCTTCTGGGACACATCAGAAAGGATGCCCTGTACACTGCCAAGGGCTTGTGGGACACGGCCTGTCTTTATCAGTTCTGAGCCTCAGGACTCAGGGCTGATGCAGGGCCTCTAGCTGAAGTAGCTTTGACAGAAATGTATAAACGCAAATGTTTAAGGAGCACAAGTACAGCAGGTGCTGCAGTTACCAGGCTCACCCATTTCTAATTATTGTGCTTTGTGTCTCCTCAGGGAGAAACAAAGGCAGCAGTGCCCTCAGGGGAGCACTGGCCCTGGCAGAACACAACAGCCGCGAAGGATCCAGCCAGAGGATGCCGCGCCAGCCCAGCGATACCAGGCTGCCCAAGGGGGGTGGGCCTGGGAAGAGCCCTATGCGTGACAACACCTAGGATGGGGCAGATACTTACCACACCACTGTCCCTAGCAAAGGCTACATGTTATCTCCTTCAGTTGATAATAAACCTTTCTGAGATTCAGAGGGTCCGGGTCAGACATTCTGTACTGTTTTTTGGCAATATTAAGGCACAGACTTAGAATAAGGTTTCTGTGCCTGTCCTGGTTGTGCCACAGGTGAACTAACTGGGTCCCTTCACCATGAACTTCCTGGACCTGAATTGGATTTTGAGAAAAGGTGTCTGGATTACCAGGTCTTCTACAAATAGATGTCAACAAACTTCACTTGAAATGAAACGTGGGAGATTTTCTACCAAGACGATTGAGTGCTGAGGGCAGGGAGGCTGTGTGTGTGCACATGGAGGGTGAGCGCTACCTTCCAGGTTATCGTGGAGCACTAGGGTCACCATGGGTGTATTGTGACCTTCTGCAAATGCTTTGCAGAACTCAGTTGACACTCCCCCCTTCTAAAATGTCCTGACCTTACACATTTGATCCACAGCTTTAGGGATTTTAGGGACAAGCCCCATCCACAGACCTCAAACACTTCTTGTCTCTTTTTAGCCAGCATGACCCATAAAGAAGCCCAAAAAACTGCAGTCAGTTGAAAACCCTGCTCTCCTAGAATTTAGGAAAACTACACATTGAAAACTTGGCTTTGAAGAAACACTGGTTTCCCCGGGTTAAGTTACTTCTGTGGCAGCTCCTTAAGTATGTACGGTCCTGTTGCACCCAGCCCCACACCAGGGCAGGCTGGCACCCCACCACTCCCCATGCAGGCTCTAGGGTCCCACCCGCTCCTGTAGGCAGCAGTAAGCAGCACAACACACATAGGTCTTGGTTTTATACAGAACCTTTATTTGCAAACAATTCGAAAGCAGCCATCCTGGGGGTGGCAGGGGAGAATCCACCACACCCTCCCCTCAGTATTCTTTGACTTCTTCCGCCTCAGCCTCCACGGAATCCACACCCACCTCTTCATAATCCTTCTCCAGAGCTGCCAGGTCCTCGCGGGCCTCGGAGAACTCCCCCCTCCTCCATGCCTTCCCCCACGTACCAGTGCACGAAGGCCCGCTTGGCATACATGAGATCAAACTTATGGTCCAGGCGGGCCCAGGCCTCCGCGATGGCTGTGGTGTTGCTCAGCATGCACACAGCCCGCTGTACCTTGGCCAGGTCTCCCCCAGGGACCACCGTTGGGGGGCTGGTAGTTAATGCCAACTTGCCAGAGAAGGGGAAGAAAGCAGTCCGTGAAGCTTATATTAAACCTAGAAATGGTAGCTATTTTTCCTCAAACAGAAGACACCCTGTAGGTGACCAGGAGAATGCTCAGCTCACCTCACAAATGTCACTAAGCCCTTTCTCTGTGCCAGGCAGGGTGATAGTTTCAGACAAATAGAGAGAAAGGAACCTTGGAGGTAGCTACCTTGGCGGGATCCCAATCTACCTTTTAAAGGCTGTGTCCTAGCAACTGTGACATGTGATAGGTGCCAAGGTGAGAAGTCTTCCCTCTCAAAATGTATGCTGCTTGTCTTCTTTGTAGATTACAATAAATTCTGTAGCTAAACTTTTTCCACCCAGAGAGATTCAGAGTACAAACTCTTCCCCAAGGTACCATGGGGAATATCATACCCACCAAACAAGCCACTGTTGCTATGCAAAGGCAGCAGATCATGGGTCAACAGTCATATGAATGCTGCTACCACAGTAGCAGGAAACGGTCCATGTGCCGGCTTAAGTAGGGGGTGACATTCCAAGGTGGGGTCCAAAGGGGAAGCATTCCAAGTTTCAGAACTTGGGAATAACATGACCTGAAGTCCTGGCAGCAGTGCACAGGGTCAACTAGAGCAGGGGTCAACAAACTTGTTCTGTCAATGACAAGATCAGGCCAGGTGTGGTGGCTCAAGCCTGTAACCCCAGCACTCCGAGATGGGAAGATCACTTGAGGCCAGGAGTTTGAGACCAGCCTGGCCAACATGGCAAAATCTCATCTCTACCAAAAATACAAATATTGGCTGGGCGTGATGGCTCTTACCTGTCATCTAGCACTCTGGGAGGCGGAGGCAGGTGGATCACCTGAGGCCAGGAGTTCGAGACCAGCCTGGCCAACATGGCAAAACCCTGTCTCTCCTGAAAATACAAAAATTAACCAGGCATGGTGGCAGGCACCTGTAATCCCAGCTACTCAAGAGGCCGAGGCAGGAGAATCGCTGGTACCCAAGAGGCGGAGGTTGTAGTAAGCAGAGATCATGCCACTGCACTCCAGCCTAGGTAACAGCGTGAGAGTCTGTCTCAAAAAAAAAAAAAGAGAAGATCATAATACAAATTCTAGGCCTTACAGGCCACATGACTTCTGTCACACCTATCCCACTCTGCTATTGGATAGCAAAATCAGTCTGCAAATGAAGGAGTGTGGTGGGTGTGTTCAGATAAAACCTTACTTAACAAAATTAAGCAGCTAGTGCTAACCCCTGAAAGAGAGGAAGAGAGGCCCAGAGTAGGAAATCCCAGTCACAGCCAAGTACAGTGGTCTCCCCAGAGGCAGTGGGGGTCTAAGCTAGAGGCGGCAGGGAAAGCATAGCACAAGGACGCACATGTCCAACAGAGAGAAATGGGACCAGATTTACTGACCAACTATTGGAAAACCTGAAAGGGGGCAGCAAAGTTTCTTTCGTGTCAGTGGAAGGTAGGGACAGATTTTGTATCTGAGGCAAACCCAGGCCAAAATTACTATGCTTTTCAGGAAAGAAAGATGTTGCTGGGTGTTTTTTTTCAGACAGTGTCTTGCTCTGTCACACAGACATTGGGGGGATCTCAGTTCACGGCAACCTCTGCCCCTCAGCCTCCTGAGTAGCTAGGACCACTGGAGCACACCACCACACCTGGCTAATTTTTTGTATTTTTGGTAGAGACAGAGTCTCATCCCATTGCCCAGGCTGGTCTCGAACTCCCAAGTTCAAGCAATCTGCCTTGGCCTCCGAAAGAGCAGGAATTACAGGTGTGAACTACTGTGCCTGTTGCTGTTTTCATCACAAAGATTCATTCTTTCTTTAAATCAATAATTCATTCATTCTTTCTAAATCAAACACTCCATAAGACAGTGGAGTGAAGGACTTAGTGAAGCAGTTTATAGTAATGCTCAAGTTAAAATAAAATACATATACCATCCACGTGATTCCCCAAAATGCCCATAAAATTCCTACTAAGCTCAACCTACCTTTTCTTTCTTTTTTTTTTTTTTTTCATGTTTACAAAAGCTTTATTTGTAACAGGGAAAAACTGTCAATCACTCAAATGTCCGTCAGCGGTATGAAGAAGAAAACAAACTTGGTATCGCTATGCAATGGAACATTACACGGCAATATAAAGGAAATAAACAATTCATACATACAAGGCATGGATGATTCTTAAATTAAGAATGCCAGTGAAATACGTTAGACATGAAAGTGCCTAATGTATTTATATTAACTCCTAGGAAACACGCATTAGTGTTTGGGGACAGAAGGTAGTTGAGGGGTTGCCTGGAGATGAGGTGTGGCGGTAGAAAAATGGGATAAAAAAGTTAAAAGGATTATAAAAAAGTTTGGCGAGCAATCTGTCTGCTCCTAATTTCGATCATGATTTTACAAATGACTACCAATATCAAAACATCAAATTTACACTTTGCAGTTTACTGGATATCAAATATTCTAAATAACGCCTTTTTTTTCTTTGAAAGAAAGAACTTTGGTCTTTGTGCACAAAGTTAGTTTTATTTATTTATTTTTTTTTTTGTTTTTTTATATTATTGTAAATAGTATTGTTTTTCTTTTTTTTTTTTATTTTTTATTGGATTATAGGTTTTGGGGTACATGAGCAGAGCTTGCAAGACAGTTGCGTAGGTACACACATGGCAGTGTGCTTTGCTTTTCTTCTCCCCTTCACCCACATTTGGCATTTCTCCCCAGGCTATCCCTCCCCACCTCCCCCTCCCACTGGCCCTCCCCTTTTCCCCCCAATAGACCCCAGTGTTTAGTACTCCCCTTTCTGTGTCCATGTGTTCTCATTTCTCATCACCCACCTATGAGTGAGAATATGCGGTGTTTCATTTTCTGTTCTTGTGTCAGTTTGCTGAGGATGATGTTCTCCAGATTCATCCATGTCCCTACAAACGACACGAACTCATCATTTCTGATTGCTGCATAATATTCCATGGTGTATATGTGCCACATTTTTCCAATCCAGTCTATTATCAATGGGCATTTGGGTTGATTCCAGGTCTTTGCTATTGTAAACAGTGCTGCAATGAACATTCGTGTACATGTGTCCTTATAGTAGAACGACTTATAGTCTTTTGGATACATACCCAGTAATGGGATTGCTGGGTCAAATGGAATTTCTATTTCTAAGGCCTTGAGGAATCGCCACACTGTCTTCCACAATGGTTGAACTAATTTACACTCCCACCAACAGTGTAAAAGTGTTCCTTTTTCTCCACATCCTCTCCAGCATCTGTTGTCTCCAGATTTTTTAATGATCGCCATTCTACCTGGCGTGAGATGGTATCTCAATGTGGTTTTGATTTGCATCTCTCTGATGACCAGTGATGATGAGCATTTTTTCATATGACTGTTGGCCTCATATATGTCTTCTTTCGTAAAGTATCTGTTCATATCCATTGCCCACTTTTGAATGGGCTTGTTTGTTTTTTTCCTGTAAATCTGTTTGAGTTCTCTGTAAATTCTGGATATCAGCCCTTTGTCAGATGGGTAGACTGCGAAAATTTTTTCCCATTCTGTTGGTTGCCGATCCACTCTAGTGACTGTTTCTTTTGCCGTGCAGAAGCTGTGGAGTTTCATTAGGTCCCATTTGTCTATTTTGGCTTTTGTTGCCAATGCTGTTGGCGTTTTGTTCATGAAGTCCTTGCCTACTCCTATGTCCTGGATAGTTTTGCCTAGATTTCCTTCTAGGGTTTTTATGGTGCCAGGTCTTATGTTTAAGTCTTTAATCCATCTGGAGTTAATTTTAGTGTAAGGTGTCAGGAAGGGGTCCAGTTTCTGCTTTCTGCACATGGCTAGCCAGTTTTCCCAACACCATTTGTTAA